GCAAGTGTGTGCTAAATCTCACATAATCTTTTACATTTATTATGTAAATATAGCGGCTTCAAATGCATGCAGATCCATTGGAGAGCGGCACTTGGCTCCATATAAAGTTCACATGGCGTCAATGTGACCCACTGTCTCCTGGCCTGATCATCTTAACTGTGGCCTTAGATTAAAGTCTGTAATCCTGCCGCTTCCCTCTCAAGTGTACTTCCCGAACGCGTACAGAATAGAAAGATGACCCTGCTCGGATGCTTGTTTAGTTTCAGGGCTGTGTTTCATCTCTGTTAACTGAATCCCTCTCACCTAAAGGCTCCTAACGGCGACATTGACCAGCAGCCCTCTGATCTCTGTCAGAGGTCAGGCAGAGTGAGCATGAGGACACATGCAATTAGTCTAACACTCAGAATTCCTTAAGACTGTAATCCTGGATAACACGCGTCCTGTAGGGTGATACTGACATAAACAGATTGGAGAAGCCGTGTGAATCGTTTCATTTAAAATGTACCTCAGCATTAGACCTACAAAGATTGGGGGATTTGCAAAGGACAGATTAAAAAAGCATGGTTAAAAGTAAAGCAGAGATGTCTGATATGAGTCACGCTGAATCTTAGATTTCCCAAAATGCAACTCAAATTGGGCTTTCATTATGTAATATAGGGTAACCACAACTATGTTTGAGGTCCAAGTTACAACATGATGAATTGTTGTTTGTTGTTCTTTTGTTGATAAAACTAAACCGACATGGGTGCCTTATGTCAGCAAAAGTTTATTTTTCAGAGTTATTAGAAGACTAGTTTGATATTTGATAAATAAGCTAATAAGCTAATTCATGTTCATGTAGAGTATGATCAGAGTATGAGTATCAGGGAAATACGGTAAAAATAAAGCTATGGACAGCCTTCTGTTAGCTTAGCTAAGCACAAAGAGCACTGACTTCAGTAAGTGTCTTTGACTAACCTAAAAGTAGTCCGCAACCTGATCAACTGTAAACGTGCAATTTTAACGCTTTGGTTTTTTGTAAATATTAAACAAACCGGGGAAAAGGATAGCTGTTTACTTGCTGCAATCTCCCAAAATGTCCAACTATTCCTTGTCAATGCATGGTATTTTTAAGCTTGGCAAGAAGACTCAGTGTTTGAAAGGTAAAGATTTAAGATTATAATGTTAAAATATTGCAAGTTTTAGAGTAAATGATATAAAATTCATTGCTAAATTGTATTTTGTCATTAATGATATGTGTTGGTCCTCTCTACAGAGCCGGAGGGTGCTGGTGGTGGATCCCCGTGGCAGGACCCATGGTGGGCGGAGCCGTCGGAGCAGGTGTTTACTTCCTGTTCATTGAGTTGCACCACCCCCAGCCTGAAAAACTGGACAAGATAAATGACCAGGACAAATATGAAATAATAACTATGAGTTAACATTTAAAATAAAGGTTGCAAAGCAAAGCAACAACACTGATTCAACAACTCATTTTCACACTCAGAAAGCAAAAAATAGTTTAAAAAATAAATGTACAGTTAGTGTTTTAACACAAAACATGCACCTGACTACACCATTTTATAGTCATATATAAAATATGTTAAATGTTTTATAAAGCCTTTCTTTTGTAGAAAATCTGGTCTGCTTTAGGTTCCTAGTTTATTTGCCTCTGGCTCTTTCATATATCAAAAATATTAATCAGATTATTTTTAGATACCAAGTTTAAACTACCTGAAATGAGAACCTACTTTTTATTATTTGCCAAGTTTTCTGTACAGCATTTTGATTTTTACTATTGTCTACCCAACAAACAAGGGCATTAAATATATGTGGCACCTATGAAACAGTTGATTGGTAATTTATATGACTTTAGCCAATGTCTTACAGTTATGATGTGTTTAGTGGAGTGACTTCCTTATTCAGTTTCACTTCACCCCTTGCTTATGCGTTAAAAGAGTGGGATTGATTGCTTAATCTTTCTTGCAAAATTGTAATTTTTGTAACACATTTATGAAGAAAATACAGCCTTAAAGGATTTTTTGGCATTGCTTACTTATCATTCATCTTCATAATTTTGTGTCACACAAACTTCTGTTATTTTGCTGTTTTACAAATTGACAGACACCCTTGATATTGAACAGCCATAATTTCACATGAGACATGTCTGCTTTCTGCAAAGATGTTTATTTTGTTTCCAGCAGAAGCTTTTGCAAAAGTCACTGAGATCCTTGATGGATTGTGTCAGTGCACTTGCTGTATCAGGGGCAATATGCACACACTGACTGTATCTGTTTACATTTAAAACTCTTCTGAGGTCAGGTAAAAGGACACTGATTCAAAATGTATGAGATAAACATGCATTTGTACATACACTAATTGTAAAACTGTTTTGCATTGCACTGAATGTCTTTTTACAACACAGGCACTTATTTGGATACGTGACAATCACTTATATTTAATTTGCTAGATTTACATTTGAGAAAGAGACAAATGTGAACAAAGTCAGAGGAATAACTATTATACTTTTCCCCCTGTATGTGTCCTACGTTTGAATAAGAGTAATTAAAGTAAGCATGTTTGATAAGATGTTGAAGGTGAAGTTAAGTATATTATGCATCTCACTGTTGCAAACTTTGACGTCAGTGCTTCGGTGCTGAGTATTCAGCCAGTCAGGACACTACTTTTTAATCTTTTTTTTTTTGGTGTTGCTTATTTGCTTTTTATAAAATAAACCTGTATGAATAAACAATTTTTTTCAGTGTATCTCAAGGTTGAATAAAGTTTGTGCAAAGGATTTGTGTGTCCATATTTATTATGTATACCTTAAAAAAAAAAAAAAATACATTTTACAAAGATATTACAATATGTCAAAAATGTGTGCCTGTGAAAATAATTCGGTTCAATTGAAGTATGTGAGCTTTTGCATCTTAAACAAAATCGCATATTGTACCCGTTCAGATGTTTGTTTCACCTAAATCTAAAGGTAAAGAAACAGACATTTTATGTTATTCCTTATTCCCAAAAATGTTCCCACTCTAAACACACACACACACACACACACACACACACACACACACACACACACACACACACACACACACACACACAACACACACACACACACACCACACACACACACAACACACACACACACACACACACACACACACACACACCACACACACACACACACACACACACACACACACACACACACACACACACACACACACACACACACACACACACACACACACACACACACACACACACACACACACACACACACACACACACACACACACAGGCAGAATGTGCAGCAGAAAAACATTAACATTTAAAACTAGCAGACTGAAAAAAAGCTTACGTAACTTCATTTAGAATAGATGCAGAATGTATTTTTGCAGTTCAATGGCTCCAGGGCTCTTCCCCAGAGTGCATCCTCTCTCCGACTTGAATAATAACAGCTTGCCATAATAATGGACCACACTCCTACTACACTACAGCAGAGAATTATACTCTTAATTGTGTGTCCTCAGTCTGAAAATGGTTGATTAATTATGATAGTTCTATTAGTATTGTATTTCATTTGTCTGAACTGGATAAACTGTTCTATTTGTGTTTATTTGTTAGTGAAGCAGTGATTGGCTGCAAAACGGCATGCAGACACACAGAAGCATGCACACACACTCACACATTAACACAGTACTTAGAAAAGCAAGGGTCCATCATGTTTGCTCTTTTAAACTGTTCCTCTGCAGTTTCTGTACTCTCTACAGTAGCTGTGTACTGAAATGAGGCTTTAAAGAACAACACATTTTAAAATAGTATTCTGTTCATGCTTAATGTAGCACACAGAAGAGGACAATCACTGAAGCCTGAACTATAGAAGCTATACGTGTGTGTGTGTGTGTGTCCGAATAATTCATATTACTTATAACATATAAGCTTTCACCATCAGTGAATGACCCCCCATGCAGTCCCTGACTGACAGTGTTTGAATTCTGACATAAATGTCAATTGGAAATCAGAAGAAATGTTTCCTGTTTTATTTCAGAGATATACAGAAAAGTCAACTGACATTTTCTTATTTCTTACAGGGTTGCTTTGGTTAATTTCTGAACATTACCATGCAGAAAATCGTCAAAACAAGCGGACAGAAACAGACTGAAATTAAATGTTCTGTGACGGTCTCCATGACCGTTGAGTGACCCTTAACCTTGTATGTGTGCTGTGTTTACTGGCATAATTTACCTAGGACAAACTGACCCTTGAAAACAGTCCAGGGAAAGTGGAGAGTTGCAGATTTGCAGATTACGATGATTTTCATTATCAATTACTGGATTAGTCGAACAATAGTTTGGTCCATAAATCTTATCCAAATCGTTTTCGAAAAGATTTCTGTCGATCAACTCATGGATTAGTCAAAGCTGGAAAAGAGTAAAAGTACATATAACTTGTACCATTAAACTCCCTTGTATAAAAACATCACAAACATTACAAACAGAAATTATGATTGGGCTTGATTTGATCAATAATCTCCTGAAATAGCACGCTGAAATCACATGTTGACAATAATTGATTCTGTTGAATCATTAAACATAACCTTAGTAAACAGTCTAATGTTATTTGAATGAGTACACTGGGTACAAGAAGTTCTCCTCTTCACCTGTTCAAACATGTTTTGCAGCAATGCAGGAAACTTCTAAATGTAAAAACTCATTTGGTCACTCAGGTTTAGTACATAAACTAAATATAGCGTGAAGCAGATCATTCTGTACAAACTGAACCAAGAATGTCCTTTTTTGCCCCTACAGGTGGGACATGGAGGATCTGAGCTCACCTCTCTCAGCCACTATCAGAGCATTGTACCAGATCCCCTCCCAGTTCATACCTTTGCTCTTACACAATTTGTGCGTTCTTCATAGCCCGTCCCCCAGCCAATCAGGATAGGAACAAATGTCTCCTTATCTACGAACCATTACTCCTGACCCCTCTCTTTATGTATAGTACAATGTGTTTCACACTCCAACAGAAATGAGGATTCTTTGAAAGAGCTTCTACTCCTGCAGACTAAAGGATCTCACCACCAGACTCCATATTACCTGCTTTTCCCTCAGGAAAGATTTCAACCTGTGGGAGAAGTGTTGAAAGGGATTACCCAGGTGTCTGTGAAGCACCATGACTAGGTTTAAAATCCTGTGCTGTTTGCTGCTCACGTATCACCTCAATGATGGAAAGAAAATCAAAGGACACAAAGGTGAGTGATAAGTTACGTATAAATTATCCAAAAAAGTGTGATCAAAGACATTTCTTGCAACTTCCTTGATTAATTGAAAACCAAAATAATATTGTATGACTCCCAAAAAGACATGTCATACTGTCAGTTCACATCAAATCATGTTATCAATATCACCAAATTTGCTGACAGTTTTGGAACAGGAGTGGCAAAATACAGTTCAAAAGTATGGCCTTTATACTCCTTTAACATATTAAATATCATACTTTCTTTTCTGAAACAATATGATGCTGATATCATTGGAATTTATACAGTTTTCTAGTTCTATCTTGTCTTATTGTTAATTTGATTACTATCGATTCTAAATACATTAATTACCAAACAACTGTTAACAATATCTGACAAAACTCAATAAACAAGACGGAGCTTTTATCTCCTTGTATTCTCACATCTCTTTCTTGTAAGATTGTAAAACACTGATTTTGTTATGTGTATACTCCTAAAAGAGTACTGTTTTGGTATCAGGCCAAAGTCAACTGGCAATTCTCCAGTCTAAAAATAAATAAAATGGAAAGGCCAAGGACAAATGTGTGATGCCATTCATGTTTTCAGGGAATGGTGAATGAACTGTTACACAACTTCACACTGTTTTGTCGTTGCTGTAAATAAAGAGGATGCAATAAGCCAACAGTCAAGACGTGTTGCTGGGTTTTAGCACTTTGTTTAAAGTTTCTACAATAATGTTTTGTTTTTTTATTCAATCTGATTCAACATTTGCTTCCACTATGTAAATGTAATGTCCCCAAAGTTTTCTTCCAATGATTTGTTTCGGTGAAGAGGAAAGTTTTCATAGCACAGTGCATGCAAACAAACAACACTGTGCATTTGTTGTTTTTACAACTTAATGGCAGAAACCATATTAAAAATAATTACAGTGAGATTTATAAAGTACACTCTTGTGCTCTCTTACTGAGTCAGGCCATATTTAATTGCTCTCTATGTTCTTATGGATAAACAGTCGTAAAAGTAAAGAGACACACCAAGGAACATGTGGGATTTAACGAGCAGAGGGGTAAATGATGGCCTGATAATTAGTTTTCATTACTTTCACTGTGGAAATGTTTTCATATCAGCAACCAGAGCTCATCAGAAGGAAACTGTATCACTGAGCGTTTAGGCGCCTGGGTTTCTAACATTAAAACGATAAAATAATAAATATACTCGACAAGAATCAATGACGAAGCTTAAAGGAGTGGTAGTGATAGATTACCTTTGGAGAAGGATCTATAAAGCTTGTGAGTGACTGTGGGCTGTGGTTTTAAACATGTTGAGGGGGGAGGATTTATATAAGCAAATTACGAGAAGAGTCTGGCATAGATTCACATGAAGGGAGTTTTTGTGAAGTATTATCTGTGTGTATTTGCCAAAGAGGTCTGCATGGCGGGAAACACAGACAGTTATTTAGCCTGTACTCCCAGTGTGCCTCAACAGGAAGTGTATTCCCTTTAGCTCTCAAATAATTAAATGAATGAATGATACAAAAAAACTCCCCTGCTCTTGATTGGACTTCTAATCTGAATTGTCACGTTATTTGTAATCATTCACCTCAGAGTAAACACATGCAGTACCTCAGTATGATCCGATATGCAAAGTAACCACGAAGAAAAAACAGATAACCCCTCTGCTGTTGGATTTCCCAGGAGCAGTGAACACCAAGCAGAGTATAGTCCTGGCGCTGAAAGAGTCCTACGTCACCAGCTCAATCTTTAGGATGTTTTTAGAAGGTGAGGACAACTGCACACTGGACCCTCTGCAGCTGCACACTCTCACCTCCTGTGGCTTCAACAGCAGTAATCCCCTCATCATCATCACTCACGGGTGGTCGGTAAGGTCAACCTTTCTTCCACTTCACTGACTTGAGCCACTGCTTACAAAACATGGAACTCAGGCCAGAGTGGAGGAATTGCTGCTGGCACAGTTTCAGATGTTAATGTTCACATAAATCCACGACATCAATGTGAAGGAAACATTCAAAACTCCTTTAAAGCACTTTGAATTGCCTTGTGTTGAAAAGTGCTATATAAATAAACTTGCCTTTCAAACTGACATCATTTAAGTTTCACATCATAACTTTAAAGGTCCCCTATTATACTCTTTTTCATCAATATATTATAGTTCTCAGTGATATACAAAACATGTTTCTTAAGTGTTTCAAAAGTGCTGATTCTCTGTCTGTTAATTTAGATGAAAATAAGGAGCCACTCCCCACGCCCCTCTGGGAGATATTTGGTCAAAAATAACACAATAGGCGCTTTCACATCGGAGTACTTTTACCCGTACTTTTCCCTTTTAGTTCCGACAGTTCCTGGGATTTTGCGTTCACACCAAAAAGAGAACTTAGTTCATGAGAACTTTTCACCCCTTAGCCGCGTTCACACCGGAGTACTTTTCCCCGTACTTTTCCCGTTTAGTTCCGTTAGTACCCCTTACAGTATGTCGCGTTCACACCAAAAAGAGTACTTAGTGCCGGGAACTTTTACCCCAATTTTTAGTGCCTGCTGAGAGGTGGTACTATCCTGGGGGGAAAAAGTGCCCCAGTTCTGATTGGCTGGGCGAATTGCAAACCACGGCCCGTAAAACTCTGAAAAGTTTTTTGAAGCCGCCATTGTATTTGCTGGCATTAGCATTATTAGCATTAGCATTAGCCCCGCGCACCAACGGAGAGAGAATAACTTATGGCAACACAAAAAAAAACATGGGAGCGGTGGAGTGATGAGGAGGTGTCGGCGTTCTGGCGATTTACTCGGAAGGCTTCAGTAGAAGCTGCTGGGAGTCCCAGCAGCTTCTACTGAAGCCAGTCCCCAACTCCGGGGACTTCCGGCCGGGGACTTCGGGTGGCAGTATACACCATGAAGTGGTTTGCGGCTGACCGCTCTGTCGGTGCACCCGAGTTGCCTTTTGATCCGGGGTGACCGTAGCGGGGCGACACTCAGACCGAACCCCTCCTTTGTTCCCAAGAATCTGAGGAGTTCGTTCAGGTCGAGGGCTATACAGCTAGACGGCTTTAGTCTTCCACCCCATATTGGGGACAGGGAGGCTAAATTGCACCTCCTCTGCCCGGTGCCTGCGCTGGCATGTTATGTAGAGCACACGGCTTCCATTAGGCGCACTGAACAGCTGTTTGTGTGCTTTGGGGATGGTGTGGCCGGTAAAGCTCTGTCCAAGAAACGCCTGACAGGATGGCTCTGCGAGTGCATTTCACATGCCTTTGGACAGGCGGGGAGAGCCTTCCCCACTGGGGTCCATGCACACTCTACACGGGGTATGGCTGTGTCAACAGCCTTGTTCAACGGCGTGAGTGTGGAGGACATATGCACAGCGGCGTCTTGGTCTACGCCAGGCCCCCCCCTTTTCCCATGCTCCTTAGGGACTCGGGAAACATGGTGCGCAGTAAACTCCATACAGAGCCTTCCTCACTATTTTCCATGCACACTCTACACGAGGTAAGCGTGTGTGAGTGTGCTCTATCCAAGCTGCGGCCCCGACTTCTCCACGGTCACAACCGGATGAGAGGAAGTTGGGGTGCGGTGGCTGTTAACCAGGCCGGTCAGGGGCAGTGTGATGGGTCGGTGTTGTTGAACGACATGGCGTTTATCCATCAGGGCTCCACCCACTGTACCCCAAAGAGCCTTTGCCTAGACCCCTTTTACCATCCTTTTATCTTTATTTTTATTTATTTATTTTTTTATTGCTTTTTATTAATTCTACCGTGTTGTGTCATGTCTATTTATACTGTTCCTGCTCACTGCCTGTAGCACTTCGGGATTTGAATTCGAATATGAAGTGCTTTATAAATGAAACCCATTATTATTATTATTATTATAGAGTCCAGTAGAGGGCGGAGCCTGTGTAAGATATAACGGGGGGTTACGTATTGTAACCCTAGTTATATAAGCACAGACGGGGCCCTCTACCTGGGGGCCCTGCCTTTCCTATGCCGCTCGCTGAAGAGGGTGTAGGATGACAGTCAGGAGGCGTGGCCGCCTTATATACTGTGGGCCTGCGCGCGCATTCAGGTAGGCTCACCCCGATTGGCCGGCTACGTTTATGTATCTCGGTAGGTGAATGCTCGCATAGCATGGTTGAGAGTAGTACCCATAGAGTCCAGTAGAGGGCTCCGCCTGTGCTTATATAACTAGGGTTACAATACGTAACCCCCCGTTATTGGCTAATGGTTACACAACCCCAAAAAACATTATGACATCACAAATTGGCCAAAATCTGATCAGCTCATTTTCAGACAGGATTTTATATAAATATATAAAAAAAGAGAGGGAATCTTTTTTCCTGTAACTTTCAGAATCTCTTTACACAGAGGGGATACATTTATGTATAAAAGACATGACAAAGTGGATTTTGCATAATAGGTGACCTTTAACTTTCTTTCACACCACTGTGTGCAGGTCGTTGTGCTGGATGAGGTTTTGAACCTTACAATCAGGAGTTAAACTGTGTCTCGTTTTTCCTAAGATGGATGGTATGATGGAGAGCTGGGTGCACAGGTTGGCCACAGCCATGAAGTCAAATCTCATGAACGTCAACGTGGTGATTACCGACTGGCTGTCCCTGGCCCACCAGCACTACCCCAAAGCTGCACAGAGCACGCGCACAGTTGGAAAAGACATAGCTCACCTGCTGCACTCACTTCAGGTCAGGGGAATGGACATATGTACAGAGTAAAAATCAGATAGATTGGTGCATTTTATACTGAAGAGGCCGCTAAAGGGTATCATCCACAAAATGACCATGTTTATATCAAATATTTACCTCCCGTTACCTTGAATTCTTGAACAAAACGTTTTTTTTGTTGCATGCCTCCACTGTGAAGTTAGAATACACAATAGACTCAAGATGAAGTCTCGATGATTTGAAGGAAATGGGGGCCACTTTTAACAACAGCAATAATATCAGTTGACAAACAATCACACAACTCGCGAAGTATAAAAATATGCTACTTTCCCAGCACATACATTTTGGCTGTTTATGCGGTAGTGATCAGACTTGAATTAGACTGCAAGCGTTGTGTAAGAGTTTGTGCAACAGATGTTTCAATAAAGTTTTGCTCTTGGCAAGCAGAGCCCTCATTTACATACATTTGGTAGATTACACCTTTAAAAAGACATTCAAGTACCAGATTTCAGATGATGAAAATTGGTCTCTTACCTGCCATAAAACCCAACAGGTACACTACCAGTTTCCATTTAAAAAGGTTCATTTGATCGGCTACAGTCTCGGAGCTCACATCTCTGGATTTGCTGGGAGCAATCTGGAGGGTTCAGAGAAGGTTGGAAGAATTACAGGTGAGTGTTTCTTATGGTAATAATTGTGCTCTCTAATCAAACCAAAACGAATTAGTAAAAGTATATTGATATAATATTTTGTAACAAGATTGAATATTGTACCTGTGCAGGTCTGGATCCAGCGGGGCCCCTGTTTGAAGGCATGTCTCCCACAGACAGACTGTCTCCTGATGACGCTGAGTTCGTGGATGCGATCCACACCTTCACCCAGGAACACCTGGGCCTCAGTGTGGGCATCAAGCAAGCTGTGGCTCATTATGACTTCTACCCCAACGGAGGAGACTTCCAGCCAGGATGTGACCTGCATAACATTTACGAGCACATAAGCCAGTACGGGCTCCACGGTAAGATAAAGCACACACAACAACACCTTAGTAAAAGAAAATACATCAAAAATATCTGACAAAATTGAAACACTAGAGCTCTGCAAGTCGCCCCTAAAAGGCTGTGCTGTTTATTACATCCTATCAAACCAAACTGGAAAGATCCTGAAATATGCCTCATGGTGATGCTTTAAGATATGTGTGTCTCTTGTTTGTTTGTTTGTAGCCTTTATTTAACCAGGTTAAAAAATCCCATTGAGATCAACGATCTCTTTTTCAAGGGAGACCTGCGGTACATTAGTTACACATAAAAACAACAGAAAACAAAAGGACATCACAACATAATTACAGGGGTATAAATTAGCAACCTATTTACAGTGACAGGTATCCAATAACATTTCATCCAGCCGTGCTTTAAAATGATGCAAGGGAATCAAAATGCTCAGTTTCAATGTTTTTTGCATAGTGTTCCAAGCTAGAGGAGCAGCGCACATAAAAGCTTTAGTACCTAAAACAGTCCTAGCACTTGGCACATGTAATAAGAACACATCCTGGGATCTCAGGCAATAGCTACTTGCCACTCTCCGTGAGATCAAAGAGCATATATAAGTCGGTAGTTTACCCAGCATGGCTTTATATATGAATATGTACCAATGACTGAGCCTCCGACCAGTAAGTGAAGGCAGACCTGCCTTGGCATACAGGGTACAGTGATGAGTAAGTACTTTACAGTTAGTAACAAATCTCAGAGCACTGTGATAGGTGGCATCTAACCTTTCCAGGCAATGGGCAGGTGCATTCATATAGATCAAATCACCATAGTCTAGCACAGGTAAAAAGGTCACAGTGACTAGCCTTTTTCTGGCTTCAAAAGATAAACAGGACTTGTTTCTGAAAAAGAAACCTAGTCTAACCCTCAGCTTTTTAAGCAGATTAGTGACCTGAAGTTTAAAAGTAAGACAATCATCAAGCCAGATACCAAGGTATTTATAACAGCTAACCACTTGGAGTACTTGTCCTTGCATAGTCACAATATCCAAAGCAGTCTCTGGAGTCTTTTTAGCTTTAGAAAAGAGCATTACCTTGGTTTTCTCAACATTTAAAAGAAGCTTTAGTTCAGAGAGCTGAGTCTGAATAATGTTAAAAACAGCCTGTAATTTAACAACCGCCTCCTTAATGGAGGGACATGCACAGTACATCACGGTATCATCTGCATAAAAATGCAAAGTAGCTTCATCCACATTTTCACCTAAACTATTGATGTAGATGGAGAATAAAAGTGGACCTAAAACAGAACCTTGAGGAACACCATTAGCAATGTTCAACCACTCAGAAGACAGCCCATCAAAGTGAACACATTGGGACCTTTCAGAGAGGTAGTTCACAAACCACCCCACTGCATGGCTGGATAAGCCAATACTGAGTAGCCTCTGCTTTAAGATGCGATGATCGACGGTGTCAAACGCTTTGGAGAGGTCAATAAATAGAGCTGCACAACTCAGCTTATTATCTAAAATACTTGTAATGTCATTCACCACTTTCATTGTGGCAGTGATGGTGCTATGTTGCTTTCTGAAGCCTGACTGATGTTTAGACAGGATATTATTTTTACATAAAAACTCCTTTACCTGTTCACTCACTAGGCTTTCAAGAACCTTAGCCAGAACTGACAATTTCGAGATTGGCCTATAGTTATTTAAAACAGTTGCCTCCCCTCCTTTTAGTAGTGGCAGGACATACGCTGACTTCCATACTTTTGGAATTGTGTTTGTGCTGAGGGAGAGGTTAAAAAGAGAAGTAAGAGGTGGAGCAATAAAATCTGCAGCTATCTTTAAAAAAAGAAAGGTTCTACGTTGTCCGGGCCAGCCGGTTTCTTAGGATCTAACTTAGATAATACTTTATGAACAACATTTACAGTAAAAGGAGTAAAACTGAAAGGGTTTTCCAGACCACATTGTTCAGAGTCACAGACTGTGGTGTTCACAGAAGCAGAGTTAGTCACAGAATCAAACATAGAACCGCAGGACACAAAATGCTCATTAAAACAATTTAACATAGTAGCCCTGTCCGATAGAGAGCCAGATGTTGTGGTAATGCACGGAGGTAGCTCATTTCGGATCTCACCGGTGGATATCGATTTTATGGCTTTCCAAAATTTCCTAGGATTATTTAGGTTTTCTGTAGTAACTGACAAATAGTACTTCGACTTAGCACTTTTGACCTGTGAAGTGAAGCTATTTCTTAGCTGCCTAAAACGCAGCCATTCTACCTCTGAGCCTGATTTCCTAGCCTTTGCCCAGGCCTTGTTTCTCTCATGCAGAAGAGTGGCAAGTTCAGCAGAAAACCAAGAATTGTCTCGTCCCTTTACTCTAAAAGTACGTAGGGGTGCATGTCTATCTATAATTTCCATAAAACCAAGATAAAAATAAGACCATGCAGTTTCTACATCAGCACACAGATCGATTTTTCCCCAATCAAACCCAAACAGATTATGAACAAAACCCTGCTCCACAAAATGTTTTATGTGTCTCTTAATAATAATACGAGGTTTAACCTTTTGGACCTTAGTGTCCCTAATTGTGGCTACAACACAGTGGTCACTCACATCATTTGCAAATACTCCTACAGATGGGTATTTATAGGGAACATTAGTTAGAATGAGATCAATTAGGGAGGATTTATTAGGGGACTTAACGTTAGGGCGAGTAGGACTGTCAACAATCTGAGTAACATTCAGAGAGATACAAAGGTTTTTAAAATCCTCTGATACTGCAGTTAACCAGTCCCAGTTAAAAGTAGTAGTCCCCTCTTAGTAGTAAACCATTCATTTTGCAATATCTTCATTACAAAGCTAATTTCCCCACATTTTAAGAAATGTAGGTACCTTTGCAAAGGTTTTTAGGTTAGTTTAGGCACACCACCCTAAAAAAATGTCTAATCTCTTTATTTAGTGTTTTCTAATGTCTGGTGATTTTTTGCGATGTTTAAAGAGGCTCTGGTTTAGATCTCAGCTTTCTGGTGGCGTTTACAACCCTGCATCTGTGGAGAAAAAGAAACTCCGTACTGCTTAACTGCTTACTGGTTTGCCTCAACCTCTGCTGTATCATAACATTTTTTTTCTTAATTGGTTTTGCCAGCTCAAAACACTCAGAAGGAATATCTTTGGGACCAATTCATCTTTTGCTTGTTGACAGTTTCTGGTTTTGTGTATAGGCAGAGGAGTTTCATTCCCTCCAGCCTAACACAAGTGGCTCTGAGTTTTATGGTGTTCCTCGATCCAAAACACATCCGCATAATATGACAGTGAAAGCCACATTAAAGCATCTGTCACCCTTAAGATTTAATTAGCAACATGTGCCTTCCTCCGCTCTGTCCATGCCCCTGAGCTGAGCTGCCTCCAGGCTACAAAAGTGGCCTCAGGGAAAAGGCCTCAGACCAGTGTCAGACATAATGACACGCTTTTAGGAGATGTGACAGAAGGACGGACTGATAGATGCCAGGGTTCGTTGATAATGAAGTCAATCCACATATAATGGTGTGGTTAAGGTTCTCAATCCACAGGAGAATATTTTGTGTGGAAACGATCTGTATAAATGCAAATCAACGTTGTTAAATCAATAATAAATCTACCATTTTGATTTCCTCCCACAGGTTTCGAGCAGACAGTGAAATGTGCTCATGAGCGGTCTGTCCATCTCTTCATTGACTCTCTCATGAATAAAGACAAGCAGAGCATGGCCTACAGGTGCAGTGGCAAAAGTGCTTTTGAAAAGGGGGTCTGTCTGGACTGCCGGAAGAATCGCTGCAACACGCTGGGCTACAACATCAGGAAGGTCCGCAGTAGCACCAGCAAGAGGCTCTACCTGAACACACGCTCTCGGATGCCTTACAAACGTATGAGGTTGTCCTCTTCATTTCAACCAATCAGCCTCAAGACACACTTATACATCCCTAATAGTCTTATACTTCATCACTGTTGGTGTATTTATATCCTTAATATCAGTATATAAGTCTGGTGAGTCTTCTTATCCCTTTCTTTCTTCTTCTCTGCAGTCTATCATTACCAGTTCAGGATCACGTTTGTCAACCAGATGGAGGGGATCGAGCCCTCTCTCACCATCTCCCTTACTGGAACAAAGGAGGAGAGTGGAGACCTCCCCATCACTATGTGAGTACAGTACCACCTCCCATCAGGCTTACATTACATCGCATCCACGCTCAGTGTACTCTGCCTTTGACACATGCAATATGCAGCTGTGCTCTCAACTCTATAAAGACACACATGGAAACAACTGGATCTGCTGCATGAAAGAGGACTATAAATGGGAATGATGGAGTGAATAATTTACTCAAGACCCTATTTCCTCACTGTGTTATCCTTCATGTTGTGTGTGTCAAAGAGCCTTAGGCAGACTGGTATAAGAAGAGGAAATGTGCTGCCCTGCTTTAGTTGCAGACCAACATTTTGTTTGTAATAAAGAAATGTGACAGCCTGCTGCAAGATGTTTCCCGCTGTAATAATAATCTGTCAGTCTTATTTTTGTTTGTCTTCCTAATTAAACTCTGACAGCACGGAAAATATTTCGGGTAATAAGACGTACACCTTCCTGATCACCCTGGACAAAGACTTAGGGGACCTGATGTTGCTCAAACTGCACTGGGAGGGGTCGGCCATGTGGAAGAACATGTGGAACCGGGTGCAGACCATCATTCCCTGGGGAGGCCAGAGGGGGAAGCCTACGCTCACTGTGGGCAGGATCAGCGTCAAAGCAGGAGACACGCAGGAAAGGTATACACCACTGCAATACAAGCAATACTTCAATGTATAAATGAAAACAAATTGCTCAAGAATAGTTTGAAGGTGTTGCATTTGGATGCAAATATTGTACCTTCCTCTCCCCTACATTAGTTTGACAGCTTTAGTTACCAGACACTTGCAGATTGAGATTATTTATTCAAAATATAAATCAATTAATCAGTTATGATATGATAAATGGAGCTAGCCAGCTAGAACCTATATCATTCATTACAAATGGATTCATGTTAACATCAGTAGTTAAACCATGTAGAGTAAAATATCTGAAAAAATCAAAAAAGTATTTTCAACAAGAATTACAAATATTCAAAATGAAAAATGGCACCACATGGATTTTACTGTGAATAACAATATATAAATTCCATTATGGGAATATTTTTGACTGTTGCCTTAAGATGTTAACAATACACCATGTTATAGCTAGTAAAAGTGGAGAAAATAATTAAACAAATTTAGTGAATATTGGTATTTGATTACAATTGATTGTTTTGAGAATGCGCACAGTTTATCAGGTTGTGTTTTTTTTATTGAGAATGTTACTCTGCAAAGTAAAGCTGTCATATAAATATTGGAGGAAAGTATTATATGACTTCTATGAGTATAGTGGGGCAGAAGTATAAAGTAGTATACCATGACAATATTCAAGTAAACTAGGCCTAGAAATTCATAAAAACTGTAGATTGAGAAATCCACTGTGCATAAGAGGTGGATCATTACGGATTAAGATTTACTGTTAAATGCATATATTTGACTGCCCCATATCATTGACTAGTTAAGTAAACTGTGGCAGTTTTTAAAGCATTACAATGACATGACATACACATGAACACATTTCATAAAGAATAGACGGTTTTAGATACAAAAACAGTGTTGCAGTGTCCCTCTCTTGACACCTTCGCAGACTTGTAATGCCACCTAGTGGATTGTTTTGCACACACAGAAATTAAACTGTTTATCATGATGGACTCACCGCTCTCTGCTCACTTCACACCCACTTCTGTTTTTCAAGGACATCTTTTTGTCCCATGACAAACGATGGACAGCAGGTTGAAGTGTCCCAGGACAAAGTGTTCGTGCGCTGTAAAGAAGACACACCAAAGCACCACAGAAGAAGACACCAAAACAGACACGTGGTTCCTTAACCTGGTGGGAGGATCTCTGATGGATGCCATTAAAAGTTCACAATTAGAGAAAACACTTTAAAGTTAGGCTGTGATAATTGAGTAAATAAGAAAATATAATATGCCTGGAAGATGTGGCACTGAACAAATAATGGTGATGTTTTAAAGTGGACCTATCATGCTATATTTGAATAATATAGTGTAGGACCATACCTATATAAGGCATATTTATACTGGATCAGTTTTTATCAGATCCGTTGCAGCCCCTTTTTTAGAGATTTGGGTATGGAGGAAAATAGAGAGGGTTGTGTTTTCTGACACTTGGTGAGTTCCCTGGAACACCAGGGACACATATTCATGTATAACAGACGTACAAAAGTGCATTTTGCATGATAGGTCCCCTTTAAAGAAGAATTCTGGGAAAGTTTTGCTAGGTGTGTTTAAAATATAACATGTTTATGTGACTAAATTATTAAGTATTGCATAATGTAGTTTTAAGAACAATATTTACATGGAGAACTTTCAGGGAGTTGAAAGTTCAATTATTAACCAGACCGTGGACACTGAGTCGTTCAATGACCTTTTGATGACGGAGAACGTAAATGTATGCTTGTGTGTCATATGTAAAATGACTCATTAACTAAAACAATAGTCTTGCCCAAAAAGTCATATAAATACATTTGTTTTTTCAAACTCAAACCAGAGCAATAAATACAAGAGCCTTTTTTTCTATTCTGTTGTGTGGTTGGTTTGTTTTTGTTGTCTTTAACCTCAGAAGCAGGATTAATCAAAGTAAACACAACTTCATGTCAGAACAGCCTGTCAGGCGATCAGATCCAAAAACCTGACTAATCACGGCTGTACTGAACTTTCAGGTGTAAATAATCATGACTGTAACATAAACAAAGTGTATAGGCAATCGAATCTGGAGAACAATCATAGTGGGCTTTTCAGAAAACAGTAAAGAAAAACTATTGATCAACTCTGGTTTATTAATGCATTTCAAGTAGTTCAAAAGAAATAATATTTTTGCACAATAACTTTTCAAAGTAAGCAAAATGAGAAAAAAGAACAAAAAGGTAAATAAAAAATAAAGACAATTGAAGACACTGTATAAAACACAGGAGACATTAAAATCAGACAGAAGTACTGAATCTAAACCATTTTGCATCACTTACACTCTAGTGCACATTTCCTTAAAATTCAGAACATGTAAAAGACTGAACAACTTCCAGAGTATTTCCCCCTAACACCCAGTGTTGTCCACATCTTACCATGTCAACAACAAAAGATAAAGATGATTTTGCAAAGCAGATCACACACGCAGAAAAGAAAATTAAAATGTGCCAAAGATAATGAAAAATACACCTTAAGACCAAATACAAAGCACTGCCAGTAGCACCAGAAAGGAAAGGAAATCGGTAAATGGAGCGACACAGGATTGCATTGTAGTCTAGAATGCAGCACAGAGACATGAGTGAAGATTGAACACGGTTATGAAAGCAAGATTATTATTATTTCATGTACCCATTTGGGATAAAACATCGAAGGCATTTATCTGTGAAGAGGGTAACTTGTTTGCTGTTACTCTGCATAGAATCTATCTGAACGTCAACACAACATCCTGTCTCCCTGCACAGAAAACAACGCTGAGCTGCAGCCGTGCTCCATACAACTCTTTTGCAAGGATAAGAAAAAAAAGATCTGTCTTTGCTTTACCAAGTTTATCCCAAGTATACATATATATATATATTTCTCATGCCAATAACTCGACTCCACTCTCATTCATACATCAGTGAAATTAAGTTTAATCTGGTTGGAGGAGACTGAAAACTCAATTTAAGCCGGGCAATAGAAGACTATTATACAAGTAGATACAAATTAAAATCTCTCAAAAGATCTGAAATAAGTGTGGATTATTATATGAAAATGTGTGTTTGTAACATTTGGTTTATATGACAATCATCCCTTACATTTCCTCCTATGATTACCATACACTGCCAAGCCCTAAACCACAACACTTCCAATATGTATTTCCACTTCAGCAGTCCAGGTTGATAACAGTGCTTGGACAAACTGCCAGCTGATGCATGCCTCGATAAAAATCACTGATACTTCGCTAACTTCAGTCACACTGCCCCGAATAGGCACATTTTAAATGCAATTACACAAACCAAGAGGATGTGACAATGGTAACAAAATTCCTTGAGGAAATCAAGACCAGTAGGAAAGTAAAAGATAGAAGAGCTGACACACAATGATTGATCGCTCTGTGAAAAGTAGCAAGAGAGTAACAATATAATTAGAAGCTCTAGGTTTCCTCAATGTATTAAATTCCTCAACATATACAAATAATCTGAACTGCAAGTAAAATCAATAAAAGCTAAATCACATTTAAACCAGAAACATTTCTCATTAAGAGGATTCAACTGCTGTTGAGTGGTTTTAACATATTTTGTCATTTCGTAAAACAACTGCCAGTGTGTGCAATTTAAGAGGTGTGCATGAAAGAAGTGAAAAGGTGGGCAGGACATTGTGGAACACTTTTTTTCTGTAATAGCTTCTTATATATGCATATCTCTTTGTTCCAAGCGTTACACACTTTCCTTGTTGCTTCAACTATTCCGACTGTAGCAAAAGGTTGAGTGTGACGAATCAGAGCCAAAGCAACAAGTCCAGAAAAAACGGCTATGACAGAAAAAAAGTGTGTTCCAATCAGGATGATAAAAGCTATTCTCTCACCATATATGTCATCCCCAGACTATATCTCTATGTAAACGCAGCTGCAAAACCATATGACAAGAATATACAGACCAAGATAATCAATCTCCCCTCCATCGGATAACAGATGACAAAATAATCTTGTTAATCTCCTTTTTTTACATTCTTTTCATACAACCTGTCCTCTAAATCCTGTGGCAGCTAGCGTGGACCCTTATATACAGCCTTCAGCCAGGAGGGACTTTACCCTGAAATATGCATGCAGCCAATCTTCTTCACTAAATACACTTGTTTGCTATTGTTTTATTAATCCTGAGAAAGTGAACTAAAACAGTAAATAATCTTCATTATAAAGAATTTCATTTGAAACTAAAATAAACCTACTGCCACATCTGAACGATTGCACGCTGGAAGAACATGAGCAACTTGAGAAACTAAAACTTGATGGTGCTTTGAGCTTTTCAAACAATCTATTAACATTGGCAAAATATGTGTTTTTCTGTTTAAATGTGTCATTGCTGTTTTTGATGGCAGTAAATACCTATGTGACTTGCAGTCCTGCCATCGTGCTGAAGATGGCAGCACTTCAGAGTGGAAGAATAGGAAAAGAAAAAAGAGGGAGCACAGATCAAGGACAGAGGAAGGAGACTCTTACACAAGCTGCTTCACTCTCCTTCATTCTGATAGAAAACAAAACACGTTCAAAGATTAAGACCACATAACAAAGATCAGTGCATTTCTGCTCCTGTTTTTCCTTGGAAAAGTTATTTATTTACTATAAAAGCTGTGTGAACCACTGCTATTCTGGCTCTTCGAGCAGAGGTGTTTGTTAGGCCCAAAAAAAACCTTTGGGCTTTGTTCAGTGAAATCGATCCATTTGCAAGATCTTTGAATAGGTTGTTAAGGTAACTCTTTGGAGTGAAGTGCTCCTACTGTAGGCACTAGGAAGACCCAAGACAAAGAGCAGAGCCGGTTCTCAGCGTCTCATTTGGCCCATCTGATAGTTCTCTCTGGGCTGGCGGTGGTGGCGCTGGCCCTGGCCCTGAGGCAGAGCCTGAGCCTGCTGCTGCGCCTGCTGCTGCCGCTGCTGCTTCCTCCTCAGCGTACCTACAGGACAGCAACATCAAATTGGTAAAGGTAATACAAAATAGTCTATGTCCTTAAAAAGTAACACATCAGCCACAAAAGGACCATTTGCAAATGCCTTACCGCAGTTTACCTTAAATTCTTGAAGACATGTTTTCCTCGTTTTTTCCCCAAACATGTGCAATTTCACTAAAACCTCACAATTTAATTGAATTAGTATATCATATTTTGAATTAAAGGTGGGGTAGGTCATTTTGGAGAAACCAGCTCGAGTGCGCTAGAATTTGAAAATACACAGCCGGAAGAAATCTGCCACTTCCTTACAGAGCCCCTCCTCCAACACACAAGAACGTGCACATGACCAATGAGGGCACGAGATAAGTTTGTGCACAGATGGAAGGCTGACAGGCAGGTAGGCCATCCAGTTATTTTAGCCGGGCCGGCTCAGATGATTGGTCGTGCTTTTTACAGTATTACGGCTTCCACAGATGACATTTCTTTATGTATTTTTTGTCAAAGCACTTAAGATATTCATTGCTATCGGGATGTTAAGAGCATTCCATGGAATATAACAAAAAGTGTATCTCGAGCCGGTTTCTCAAACTTACCTCCCCCACATTTAAATAGTAAGATTGAGTCTTGATGCATGTGTTGAGGAAGTTTTGAGCATAAGACTGTATACATCAGATTTGGATGATGGTGTGATAATGTGCTGTATGAGCGTTTCTAAATGGATGTTTTTATCATTATTCATCAAGACTGTTCTCCTTTTTGATTCTTAAATTATTCAGGAAATATTTTTTTAAAACTACATTTTCTTCAAGAATTTAACATGACATACAAATGGACATTTAGTTGAAGTATTCTTTTAAGCTGCACTCAACAATCTAAAGTGTGTGCATATTAACATACATGTAAATACAAAACATGTACTGTACCTGGCAGTGGCTTTGGAGGGGGCAGTTTGGGGTTGCTGCTGGGGGTGTGGACGCTGCAGATCTTGATGAAGCCGGCCATCAGCATAATCAAAGCAATGCCCATCAAGAGCACCGCCCACCAGTGAGCCTGTAAAACAATAATATTTTAAAGGATGTCTAAATACAGGCATATCAATAGTTTTTAATGTGTCATTAGGTTGACAAATCTTTGCTGATATCAAGACACTCACCACTATCCACTCAGCAATATTTTCATAGAGTTCTGCATTGAAAATGGCTTTCTTCAGCCTTGCCAGAGGCCCGTCTGCGTCCACCAGACGACACCTCATGAACACATCACAGTAGCCCTTAAAGTCGTTGCAGGGGGAGCCGGGCTGCAGCGTGGTGGTCTTCTTGTTGAAGAATTGGGCCCATTTTTCTGAGCCTGTGCTGCTGCAGGTGGTGGGCTTCACTGAGGGCAGAGGGAGAGGGAGTCACCACTGAGATTCACACTCTAACTCTATAAGAATAACTTACAAATGAAACCTTCATTTGAAATGACCAAGAACAAAAAGTCAAACTAAGTCATTAAGGTCAAATCAATAATACAGTGATTGTGTTCCAGCCTGTCACTTACTTTTATCCATGCAGCACACGTGGCACAGCTCAGCGGCCTCATCCTTGCTTTCTTCCATGGCACAGGTGCAGACCTCCAGACCGTACTTCTCACAAATGGATCCAGAGCACACCTGGTCCAAACAATAAATCGTTTAAAAAGAGTTCACAAACAGCACATACCAGACAGGAAAAAGCAAGAGGTCAATAAACATACCCCATTGAGGCAGACTTGTGTTTCCGAATGGCAGGAGGTGAAGTTAGCCTTTGGTTCGGATGAAGGACACAGAGGAGTAGCTCCGTTGCACGTTCCCTGTTGGGCGCACTCAGACTCCACTCTGCACTCGGCATTTGAGCCCTTGAAGGAACACTCTCGTGTGCAACAGGGGCCTTGGCTGGGACTGCGGACAAATAATTACAAATGTGCAATCAATGCTATGCTGAGAACCCTTACCCTAGCAATACTTGTGCCAAATACACCAACTACAGGCCTGAATAGAGACATGCTGATCACAACTGACCTGCAGATTTTGCCAGGTTGGAGTTTGCATTTTTTGCCCTCCCCTTCATTGGCGTTATAGCAGCAGGGGTCACCACACTGATCACTGTAGCCGCAGTCGCACTCTTCTCCTTCTTCCACTAGTCCGTTACCACAGATCGGCTGACCAGACTCTGTACACACAGACACAACAGCATGAAGACATCATCTCTCTCACACACTGAGAAAGAAACAAATACGATGGTTAGAGAGAACTTACCAACAAAACAGGAATCTCTCTTCTTCGTCAGAACAGCGCTTATATTGCGGATGCTGCAGATAGAGAACTTGTTGTTGTTGAGCTTGTCCCCTGATGTGGCTCTGGCGTACATGATGTAGTTGCCCTGCTCCTTTTTATCCTGCGACTTAGACTCTCCAGGGGTGCATTCAAGCCCAGAGTCATGCTGTGAAACAGGAGGCAGGGAGAGGACAGAAGGCAGAGAGACTTGAGAGACAGAAGAATATATTGCAAAACTTGACATGTGAAATACTTGCACTGACAAAGGCATCTGTTTTAAATCATAGTACTTACAGGAGAGCCAAAGTTGTGCCCAACCTCATGAGCGAAGGTAATGTGTGACACCTTGGGAGGGACGTGGGAGGCGTAGTTCTGCACAGTGATGATGCCAGTGTTCAGAGACTTCCTCTTTCCGTCAGAGTACAGCTTGCTCTTCTCACAGATGCCCCCAGAACTTCCTGTTGCAGGAGAGTAAACAACATATGAGCAAAATGGATTATCATACAATTAAATAATAAACCAGATTTCACAGAGAGTATCATTTATAATTTAACCCCTGGTTAATTTACTGTTGTAGATATGGTGTTAAGAGTTAGTTAAAGTTATCATTTAAGTCCTTCAGTACTGTGAATGATATAACATTTATAATGTATTAAATAATTTGAATGAACAATAGAAACCACTTGCAGTCAACAATAAGCATGCCTGCAGTGCTGCAGTTCTTTCACTAATCCATAAAGCCAGTCACAAGGAGGCAACTTCAGCTTCTAGCCACGCAGAAACAAAGACAAGACATCAGAGCACTTAGACTTCGAGCAATAAACAACGTGTCCATTATGTGTAAGTGCACTGAGTATGGATGTACATTGTATGTTGTTCACAGCGCGTGTGCGTGCGTGCGTTCTTGTTTAGCTCCTCCACTGAAGCAACAAAACAGCTGGTCACATTAAATGCGATACACATTAGTTGTGCTCGGCCAGTATCCCTCCCTTTGTTCAGATAATAGCACACAGCTCACTGCGGCACTTCCTCCTCTCTGTCTCTTATCCTCAATCGATTCTTTCCGCTTACAGCATTGCCCATTTGTCCGTATTGATCGTCTGTGTTTGTTGCTGTATTCTTCATGATGAGAAGGTGGTGTCTGAACTTATTCAAAGCAGTAGAAGGGGGAGGCCTACATAACTTTCATACATACATGTTGTGCCTGTGAGCAAATAACCAGTTTATACAGGATTTTTGAAGCAAGTGCACATTGTTGGTTGTAATGGAGGAGGAGGTATTCACTCATAAATTAAAACATATACAGTATATACACTACAGCATTTAAAGTTAAACCTGCATACTAACCAGTTGTTGGATACTGACTACTGATACTACATTGTAAACTCAGGACAGATCATATACTCATGCCAATGCTGCCTTTTCATTATTCAAACTAATTTCAAACCAATTTCAGGTACTTTAGTTCAGAGGCCATTACAGTTCTGTTTCTCTCACTGCACCCAAGTCTAACAAAAATAACCAGTTGTTATGACTGAAACATAGATTAAATGTTATCAGTGTGACTGTTTAATAACTTCCTCTTTGTTTTATTACCAAATTATATAATGTTTGTTGTTCTAATAAAGGCGCTCTGGAAGCAAAGGTGAAATGTAATATTTAATACAAATGTATACTTTCACAAGAGATTTAGACAATATATTTAGTTCATTTTGCAATAAAGATAAATAATTGTTTCATCTCAACTTTCACTTGGACTTGATTCTAAGTTTAAGTGTATATTTAGTTGGAGCATGTGTGATAAAGCATTGGTTTATAAATGAATAAACTGAGAAGGTAAGGCCGATTTGGACCTATGAGCATCACAGGAAGTCCCTACCCCGGCTGTATGTGTTCATGTTATTGTGTTGTGTACCAACCTGAAGGAGCTCCGACCCAAGCCAAGCCAAGAACCCCATCATCAAAGTCCCTGTCGGAGAAGACGTAGGCCAGGCAGTAGTCATCGTGGTTCTGCTCAGAGTTAAGCTCCAGAAACTTCTCCACTCCAATGTTGGCAAAGCGAAAAGGGTTAGTTCGGTCTTTTTCATCGTCGGTAGTATTTATCTGAATAAAGAAGAGTTTGAAAATAACACAAGAGATAGAGTAAGAGATATAGCTTATAGAGGCTTTAAATGTATACATATTCACACTGAGGAAAATCTACACCACAGTACTCATGGCTGAGCAGACAGGTTAACAAACTTCAGAATACCTTCACTCATATTAGCAGCTTAATTCCTTTCAGGTAAATGGTTATATAAACTAAAACTTCAGCAGATTGCAGATTCAACTCACCCTGATCCTTTTAACCATGAAGGCGATGTTTCGGATGCCCAGGAAGTCTGTGCCCTGGTAAATGGAGTCAATGGCCTTCACATGGCTGGAGATCTGTGGAGAAAGTAATCCTTTAGATATGTAGTAAGGCAAATAAATGATGCTAATCTCTGTGATTAACTACTTATTCTAGCCCAATCATTATATTTACACTAGTATAATAAATACATTTACTCTATTCCAATAATTTTCTCTTTTTATAGTTCAATATAACATTGTATTATATGTTGTATTCCGATATGTGTCTGACTTGGATGTTTATTTGCAGAAGTTGTTTTATTTTGTGGTATTTTTTGTCACTATGTAACACTCGCACTTCTATTGGCCAGCGCTCCAACACATTGTACGTGATAGGCTAAGGGGCGGGACATTTCCAACATATCTCTAAGCGGTTCACCAATCACAACAAAGCCAGACAGCTAACCAATCAGAGCAGACTGGGCTCTGGTTTCAGACAGAGGGTGAAAAGAGGTGCTGCAGCACAGGCAGTATGAGAAAAATAAAGACCTTTTTGAACATTGAAGCATGTAAACATCTCACAGTAGAGGCACAAATACAAATATGAACCTGAAAATGAGCATAACATGCGCTCTTTAATATGTACACACTGTGTGCATACCTGGGCAATGACAGCCTCTCTTGTGCCGTAGTATTTGAAGAAGAGGTGGTCAGTCTGGATGAAGAGCTGGCAAGTGTTTTTCTCCTTTGCTGTTGCTCTCTTCCTCCTCAGAATAACAGGACCATTGGATTTCTCTTCCTCCGATACACTGCTTACCCCCTGTAAGAAAAGCAACCATCAGGATCAGGACACATGGGAACACATTGCCGTGTTTAAAACTTCTAGCATGGCTTAAACATTGCAGGTAATCTGGCGGTGGATGAGAAAGCATGTACACCTGAGCTAAAAATATACACATGCTTTTACTGTTGCTGCAGGGAAGGGAAGTTCTATACTGTATGAGATAAGATCGATTAAACTCATGAGCCCTGTCCATCTGTGTGTTTAATTATTAACTAGAAGGAGGGGGAGGGGCTTTGTTGTGTGATGCTTGTACTTACTTTTTCTGGCTCCTCTACTCCAGTTGCTTGGTATTTCAACATCCTCTCATACACCGAGTGGTCAGCGCAGCCGCCCTCTGAGCCATACTTATGAGGATAATCTGGCAGATAGAGGGGAGATAAGGCAATGTTATGAACGGCTTACACTGCATCATGCTTCTCTCTCGGATCATGTGTGGTCGGCTGGTGAAGTTGAATCAGGGTGAGAGTAGCTGCTTTAAATAAAAAGCTTTAATGATATAGCTTTTCACCCTGCGAATCATCACTGACAAATCAGCTTTCTCTCTGAGCAGTAGACCTGCCTCTACTAATGAAAACATTGATTCTCTATTCTTTTTTTATTTAAGACTGCTGTGTAACAATGTTATCTCAAAGTTAGTATACACACTGCATTTAATTTTTGAAGGGCAAAAGAGAGGGGGCTTAAAATAAATGCATTGGGGATTTTATAAACAATGGATTACAGCCGCTGATAGCAGCATGAATTGTGCAGTATTTGTTTATCTGCTCCGGTTACGAAGTCCGATTCACAAAATATATTGTGTTCTTGATATTACAGTACAAACACGCCCATAACGTTTTGCAGTGTAATTTGCGACTATTCGTGTGGCTAAATATAAATGTTGCCTTTGCACCAAGAAAACAGTAAGACTAACAACGAAGGATACATTTTTGAACTGAAATTCAAACAGCGTGCTACTGATCCTGAAAGAAAAATGCACAGGCATTCCTAAAAACATTAGCCATTTAAAAACAAAAAAATGTTGGGATTCAAAATAGCGGTCTGTCAGCGCTGTTGCTGTTTCCAAAGGCAATTCAAACTTTAAATAATATTACTGAATCTTTTGGCATGGCACCCCTTTACAAATGTGCTTCAGCCACTAACAACTCTGACGACGCTGAGGGCTGACGTTTGTGAATTGTCTTTCATTTTGCAATGAGGCTCATTTGCATAGAAATGTCTATTTTGCTGTGAATAAATGCATATTACTTAATTTAAATACAGGCAAATGGCACAGGATTGTTGAGACGCTATTTGTTTGGCAGCTCAGTTAGGGGTGCAAATCATCTTTTGCGGGTGCTTTGAGAAGTAAACTGTTTCTTTTTATGTTATTTGTGCATGCATGTCTTTTAAGCCAAATCAAGGTCAGAATCCAAAACACTAAATAACTTTAAAATAAAGAGGAATTATGTTTTATATAATTTTAAAACAAAAAACAAAAAATGTTTAAGCTAAACTAATGAGATTGGATGCTGTTTTCAATCAATCCAATTGGTCCCTTGCAGAAGCTTTTGTTTGCTGAACCTTTGATCCCATTAATAGTAGTGCAGGACATAAGCCTGAATGTTACAGGACTTTTGTTCAGTAAAGAGAACCGTCCGGTGCTGGTTACTGAACTGACTGGACAGACACTGAAACAATGCATTCAAACTCTCACAATGTGTTTTCAGAGAAAGCTCTCTTTGTCCCTACAGTGAATGCCGTCTCATTCAACTGCTAATCAAAAGGCCCTTACAGTGTGGAACAAAGTCAAAAAGAAACCACAAGAAAGGCCAAGAGTCAGAAGTAAGGACGTTCATTGATGTCTTTTTTCCCACAGATACCAGCTTCTAAATATCGAAACAAGATATGTGATGTTTTACAACTATAGGGTAATTTGAACTCAACTCAACTCAATATCTCTAAATAGTCAATTTAAGACTCAAATGTAAGACCTTTCCAGCTTAATGCACATTAAGGGGACCATCTGAAAACGCTGATTTACTGTGCATTTATGTGTGTTTTTAGGAAAATGTTACAGATTAATTACCTCAAACACAATCATACATGTTTAAGGGTGACCTGTTTGACCCCTACTATGCAGATATAAGCAGACGTGTCGGACAAATCCGAATTACATGGGAAGATAAAAGGCTGAAATAAATACATAACCTGAGTTAATATTCAAATGAAAGGTTGACTAACCCAGCTTCCTCTGTGTTACAAATGACACAATGAAATGCTGTGGGTGGATGAGTTCACAACATAATGAACCACTATTACTCTTTGCTTACATATTCTTCAGTAGATCCAAAGAATCTCCCTATGTATGTGTGCATGTCTCAATTTATGAGTCCTCGGGTGTGAGTTCTAGATAAGTTATCAGCAGGATAGAGTGCAGTGTATCAGCCCGCCAAAAGCCAGGGCGTGGTTCATATCAGACTCACTGCCTGCCTGCTAAATACAGTTCTTTGGGGCAAGAATGAGAAGTTTCCAGTTGCTGGATTTAGTTTCTTGGATATGAGTCATAACTTTTGCTTTATCAGGCTACAATACTGCTTCCAGTATAAATAAAGACCAGAGGCAGAGGACCTCCATATCCAACAGATCACAAAGCAATGTTTTGCTCAATATTCCTCCCAAAAGTTAATTATCTTTCTTTGCTGCTTTTAATACATTATCTTGTTTTTAGCAAAGAAGAAAAAGTCAGTTAAAAAAAACTTGGCTAAAACATTTCAACACTAATGCATTTCAAAAGAAGCCTGTTAAAAAAGTACTACAAATGTTTGTGGCATATCTAAAAAGGTATGGAGGTCACAACTTTCCCTGCAGCTGCATATTGTGCAGATTTGAACCACCTCTACCGCACACAGGGTTTTAAATGAAAGCAGGTGCAATGGTAGATACTCACTGATGTCATCCTCATGATAGATGACGGAGTGGAAGGGCACATTCTGGTCCTTCAGGTACCTCTCCGAGGGTTCAATGTAGTATGTTCCTTGATGGGATTTAATGAAGCCTTCAAAGCGGCCGTCAACCACGGAGCCATGGGTCAGGGTGCCCTTTTCGCCTGAAGCACAATGAGGATGAAGATGAGCAGAGAACAAATATATATTCCATTCGACCAAAGAAACAGTGGTATTTGTATGAATAATGTGGTATTGTTTGCATTTTTAAAGAAAGGTTAACAGTAATACTTAATTTACACATCTTTAGTGATATTTTATTTTCAAATTCAAGATATTTATTGTAAAATGTCTTAATTTTCTGAGCGGTATACATATTGAAAGAGCTTTCCTGAGTGAGACAAGTAAAAACCTCTCTGTTTCTAGGTCCCCTTTCTGTTTGTTTCACAAACACTGATAACAAAAGGACAAACAGACTGTTTTTATTTCTCTGGTTCATTTGAACTCTGCTGGAGACGGGTAGCAGGAAGACATCCAGGAAGGAAAGGGATTAAGGGCGGAAGCCAGAACAGGATGAAAGGTAAAAGTTCTTCCTGTGTGTAGGCTTGTGACGAGACAAATACTCGACAAAAACTACCTTTAGTTGTCCACAATATTACATAGTGCTTGACATGAAAGCATTGTCTCCTAGCTGAGATGATATAGGGGATAAAGTGGGAATGATATAAGGCGAAATGTCTTTGAAGACCTTACATTTAAATGAAAAAAAGCTTAGAGAAACACACATCTACAAATCTGTTGTGTTGTGTGGAAACAGCTGGACTTACCAAAGATTTCTCCACTGTAAATATGTGATGTATCAATGGGTGTCTCCTCTCCAGATACATCAATGATTAGATCTGGGGAAAATGTAGTTGTATCTCTCATCATCCGCAAGTTAAATTGTCTAAGGAGAAAAAAAGGAGAAATTTGTAATTAACAAAATAATTAAACACCGAATACAAATTGCACTTTGACACACTGACATGATGAGGCTAACACAATACACACCCTGAACCCTGGTAATGTTAATGTCATGATTTCACCATAGAGTTTTAGTTTGAAGGATGGCTCGCACTGGAAACCCGAGACAGCACACAGAGAATTGAGTATAAAACAAGTGTTCACACATTCTTCCTGCAGCTTCACAAAGCTGCTCTGATAGTTGATGCTCAACACTGCTGTGCTTAGTGACTTAGAAGAAGAATTATGTCATGAGTAAAAGCACATGAACATTTGTGCACAGCCATAGTACTTTTGTATAATCCTCTCATTAACCTAACCATGATTTCTAAGAAAAAATGCAACCATCACATGAGGTGCACATGAGCTAGCTTCAAAGAAACCTGAGGCCATGTACCATGTATTTTAGGGAAATACACTCTTTAGTAATCACATGGCTGGATCTCAAGGCAGAGCTTCCTTTAGAGATGACTCATATGGTGTTTACAATGCTACCTCATACTGAGCCCAATATTGATTGCACCATTTTGCAGAAAGTAGTCTTGTATTACCAGAGTTGGCATTTTCAGGCAGGTTACATTTTTAGGAAGCATACAAGTGTACTCACTGCCACAGTGTGATAATTGGTATATTGTTTTAAGTCCTTAGTATGGGTGAAGCTTAACATACTTAATCAAATAAAAACACTGGATCCATTTCCCCAAAAACATTATACATTTTCTTTGGCCTCCGTGTCTGGTAAATGCCCATGTGATTTAACACAAGCTGTAACATAGGCTAACTTTTGCACATTTTTAGACACCAAGCTTAAGATAAGATAATGTAAAGTCACGCACAAAGTAATTTAGTCAGGGTTCATAATCTCTCTGCAGAGCCACAGAGGACATCACATGAGTGTTTTTGGCCTAAAATGGCCTTTATTTGTAGAATGGGTGTAGCTCTTCATTGTGTGAAAAGAAGAGGGTTGTTTCCCTTTGAGCCGCTCAGGGACAGAGCACATCATTAAAGTCTACCTAAGCCACAGAGGTTTTGCAAAAGCCTCTTTGTTCATGAAGAGATAACGGCCTAAGGACATAAAGATGGACTTGTGTACTGTACAAATTAATATACAAGAACGATTGAGCAAACCCAATACAAACTGAGCACAGGAGAGAGATAGTAGAATTTGAGGAGGAGTAGAACATTAAATATTTTGGAGAGTGAGATGAAGTTGAAAAGGTCAGACACAGTCCAGGATATCCCTGTACAGGATGACTCTGACTTTCCCCAGCATTTAGTTTTCCCTTCATCACTTCTGTTCTCATTTCTAATGAACACATTTTTGCTTTACTTCTGGTAACTTCCATTCTGCAGGTCCCTTCCCCTGCTATAGGGATAAGTCATAAAGAAACCTAAAATTGTGCTTTTTAGAACTAAGAAACTATTATTTTATTGCTTTAGTGAAAACATTAATTCATAACAAGAGATAAGAGGGCAGGAACGTAAGAAAAACAATAATTTGAACAAAAGGGAGAGAGAAAACTGCTTAACATGTGGAACAAAGATTGCAATACGATCTACTCTTTGAATTCTGGCAAGAGATTACCAATATATTTACATTTACATTTACATACTGCTTGTTATTCATTCTGGCACACCCATTACAGTTTCTCGGCCTCTTTCGACCTTATTAATGGCCACTACCGCAATCAATATGACCTCATGACTCCATCTATGCCCAATCAAAAGCTCAGTCAACCCAAAATAACACCATGGCACGCTGGTAACAGACAGATGAATCCATAAGTAGATTATTCGGTTACAGATGTAAGCTGCATTATCAGGGATCTGATTTAATATGTTGTTCAGGATGTTGCTCTCAAGGGGTTGTTAACTATTTAAATGATAGAGAACAATTTGTATTTAAGTTAAGTTGCATATGTCATAAGTTAGACATACGTTTGACGTACCAAAGGGCTCAATCCTTGGCCATTATCATGTTCTTTTTATATGAATTAATGACTTGAAGGCTAACTGAAAAATATTCTGTGTCAATAAGGAACTGTCTGCTGGTTTAAATGGTATCACCCAAATAAGCTTAATGAGAAAGTACCACATACACAATTAAAGGTAATATTGTAGACGATAGATTAAATTGGGAAAAACGTATGAAACATGTATGCAAAAGATCCATGGAGATGCTTGGTGAGAAAAGTGAGTTATTTAATCGATAATTCATCGATCTCCTTATTAAAATCTTTATGATTATCTCTAAGGAAGTCAGAAACAGTTTGTGAGGGGTCTTTTTTCAATATAAATCACTGAATCATGTTCAACACAAAAACCCAGCAGAAAATAAACATGGCTTACAGACAGGAAAAGCAGAGGCTGTGGATCAAGTCAGCTTCTCACTGAATCAGTTGACTGATCAATTATTCAGACATTTCCCAAAGCTAAACATACGGTCTCGTTCATCTGACAGTCATACACTTTTCTCAGTAAGCCGGCAATGTCTAAAGAGATGGTATGCTTACAATGAGGCCAATATCCACCCTATATTTAAAACTGAATATACCCATCAACAATACAAGTATCAATTATATGTTCATGTTGGTGCTTCTGGCCTGCTAACCAAACATAACTGAACATTCACTGTTGAAGAAGTAAGCTCACAAGTTAGTACTTGAATATCAGAGTACTGAACTATGATCACAATCAGATGATTTTTGAAATGTGTCATTGCTTCCTGTGTGAGCGATTAGTTAACTTCAATGAATCCAGGTCTTTCAACACACCTGAGCTCTTCATATTGCATAACTTTGAATTGTGTGTTGTATTATAAAGAGGAAAATACACCTCACAAATGAGTCTTTGATACTTAGAAAGCTGGAGACTGAACTGAATTATTGGAAGAGCCCTAAGGAGATAACGGTCCGCCCTACCTTGTCACGTCACCTGAACCAGCAACGACTGCTTATGAGCATTGGGCATACACAAGGAAGCATTGCTCTTATTACAAAGAATGAGTGAATAGTATAAATAATAAAATGTCTAGATAATAAAGAAGTTATATTTAGTTCCTAAACTGTGTGTATCTTGACAAAAAGCGGTATCTGTCATATTGTGCTCATAATGGAATTATATATTATTGGTCGCCCAAGTAGCAATGGATTCAGGCTTGATTATTCATTATTTCTTTACTGCTCATAAATGCCTCATTAATGCAGCCTGTTCAAGGCGGGTATGTTGCACCATTACTCCGCGACTGGCAGTGTTTATGCAAGGCCAGGAGAGACAGGAAAGAGCACAAAAACACAGGAAAGGAATCTGTTTGACAGGGCATTGATAACCCTCAACAGACAGGTTTGGTGAAAACAACCAGCACAACCAGCAAAGCCCCTAGTAACCCCCCCCCCCCACACACACACACACACACCACAACACAGACTATAACACCCCTTGCTGTTAAATACCAACCAACTATGTGCTATATGTGCAATATATATATATATGCCGTTAATAACTGGCTGCTAAATCCTAAGAACTGTTACAGGATATGTATTTTGTAAATTGTGTAACTTTTTTTTTATTATATCATAACTTTTTTTTAAACTTTAATACTTTTTAATGCATGTAACATATGTAACATATGTAACACTAAGCTGTCTGTGGCTCTTTTTCTGCTGTAACAACGTACATTTCCCCTCTGTGGGACTAATAAAGGTATTCTGATTCTGATTCTGAAAGCAGGGAAAGCCTGCTGAGAAAACAGTGCTCCTGATGTACATTACGTATGCTCTTCAACACGGCACAAAAAGAATAATAGTAATGATAATAATATCAAAGAAAATGAAAGGGAAAAAATAAATAAAAATGTAAACGAGACAGAAAGGGACAAATGGAAAGCCATTTCCCATTGGTAGAAATAGCCCTAGAACTGCGCTGGCAACATATTAAAATATAATCTTCTGTTTGTGTTTATACTGAAGAATGATATTGTGTAAATAAAGAAAATAGATTAATTTTGTCAGTGAGTCAAGGCAAGCCAGCAAATCCAAAATGTTCTAGGTTGTGTTGGGGCTCTTCGCAGTCCTAAACTGTGCTGTAGTAAGATAAGGTCGTCCTAGCTAAACATTGCACTGCATTGCTCAAAATAAAATAAAAAGTGTTTAAACTATGTTAGGTCAGAGCAGCAGCCACCATTTTTGACCAAGTAAAGTATAACATTTTATTTTTAGGTAGACAATAAACATCAAAACTATTTCTTGTTCACCACTTATTTCCAAATGCATTATTTACACACATTCTGCAGCTTAAAGTCAACTGTCCCTTAATACTAAGTTGACAAGAACTCAGCTGATTTAAATCTGAGAACATTCAAACGATGTTACTTTGTAATATAATCTATTTCCAAAACAGGCATGGCACCATTGTACTCAGACTATTTATCCTTGACAGGGGCTCACCTGGAAATACAGGTCATTTAAAGAGAATATATGGGACTCGACTGTCGGAGGTAAAAAAAGAAAAAAAAAGGGGAAGGAATTGACTACGAATAATGAGGTAAGCCTCTTCATAGTTTTAAATAACCACAATTTGGCCGCAGGTTCTCTCCGAGAATCATGGACAATAGTGGCAGGTATGTTTTTTTCTATCAAGTGTAAAAACAACACAAGATCAAACTTCCACACATGTTGTCTACTGCAAAGAAAACAGCAGGAACTTTCTCGATATGAGCAACATGCCAGTTTTATGTTACAATGGATTTTTGTCTTTGGCTACAGTTTATGACCAAATGGATCACTAAGCAAATAGTGTAATCATGCCATAAATAATGAGATATTTCAAATCTAATGGCACTGTGGGAACCGAACAAACATTGGCATATCCATCTCACATTCAAATGCATTGCCCGCCAGGTGTTATTTCAAAATAAGACATATATCTTGTGTTGATGATGAAGTAATACCAGTAACAACAATAAAGATAATTTGAGCACCAGGAAAAGCGCTTTATAAATAACATGTACTATTATTATTATTATTATTATGAGATAAATCATTGTAATCATTCTAAGATGTAAGTGCATAGAGTAGGACAAATAAGCACAACAAGTTCATGCAGTATTGTTTGAGGATAAATTGGAAGACAGAAAAAGAGAGTGAATAAATGAAGAAACATAGTGTGTGTGTGTGTGTGTGTGTGTGTGTGTGTGTGTGTGTGTGTGTGTGTGTGTTTAAACTGACCTTCCATGTGCATGGAAGTCGAGCTGCACGGTCCTGTCTTGAGGAGAGAGGGCCCTCTTGGCTCTCTGGTGACTGTTGTGCAGGGCTTCGATGTCATACGATAATCCCTCATAATGGCGAATATATTTATTCAAGGGTTTCTCGAACTGACCTGAAAGAGAGTTCAGTGGCTCATCAATATTTCATACATTTTCTGCAAGGGCAACATTTCAGTTTCACATTTTATTAGACATTTCTGGTTTAGCTATTAGTCTGAGATGTGTATTATCATTATCAAGTTTGAGAACAAATAAAAACAACAATTTAAAAAAAGAAATCACTTAATGTGTTGATCCTTTTAGTAAATCTACAGTTATAGTCAAAGAAAAATGTATGTTATCATTAACCTGGGCCTTTGTGAGTTATCAAAGGGTCTTTCATGAAAAAAGGCCTATGGAGGGAGGTCGGTAAAAGAGGATGAACCTCTACCAGAGCAATCAACTATCCTACAAGCTGTCACTCACTAGACATGCTTAACAGGCTTATTCAGTTTATAGATGTGACCCCAGAGAGGTAATCCCACCAGCTTTCATACTGACCATTCCTTTGTTCTTTTTACAAAGACAAAGAAAGTCATTTTAAAGCGCAAATGAGGAGCACATGATGCACATCAGGTGACGGAGGTTCTGTTTCAGTAGTACTGTATGTCATTGTGCAAACACAGTGGCTGATTTGGCTGAAGGCTATTTAAATGCTAATCTACATTCCTGAGGGAAACACAGAATGCTCTTAATAAATATCCATCTGGAGTTTTGGGTTACAAAAGGAAATGCTCTGTTGTTGGCTAAAATAGTAGCCTTAATAGGTTCATTAACAGGGGCTCCATTTAAAGTGCTAGGACTGACAGCTCTGAGTTGTTGTGGTGAAAGATACACAGACAAGATCCAGACAAGACAGCCCTAAACAGGGGGTGTTTCTCAATGTCGAGTAAAGCTGCTGCAAAGCCACTATTTCAAGCATACTACGTCATCGAGTGCCGCCGAAGGACTGTTCCAATGTCCAGCATACTTGGAATTCTACCGAGCCCGGTGTACTTCGTAACGAGAAATTTCGAGGCTACACGTGTGTAGACTCCGGTCTTAAAATCCCCACAAAGCTTTGCGCACGGACCAATTTCCCCAAATTTGTGGCGGAAAATGTAAGACGGGGCCTCTCATATGACGCACACCTGCACACTTGCTCGCCTGTTCCACTCTTCGTTTTCCGAATGCCAGGAAGTATTCTTGCCTCGGACTCGGAAGTGACTCGGAAGACATGTGCTACCAAGCAAGCGTACTCGACATTGAAAAACACCCAGGGAGTGGCTGTACTAGGCTGGTAGCAACTTGTCCATGAATGCAGCGAGAACATATTCCAACCACCAGCTTTACCAACAACAAACTAGACACCACAACAATCAGCCTTAGAATAGGTTTTTAACAAAAACAAACACTGCCAGCTCAGATTGCCCAGATCTGCCTGCTCAGTAGGACCTGACAACTCCACATAGCTGATTTATTCAAATACAATGGTTGTGTTACGACCCCCTCCACTCCACTAGGGGTCTCTGCATTTGTGTTCTGCTTGCTTGCTCTTGTTTGTGTTTCAGGTGATCAACCTGATGAGCCACACCTGGGCCGTCAACAAAAGACCAACACCATCCCATACTGCCGGGCACTCTTCTGTTGGACACGGCTGTGTCTTTGTTTTCACACAATCATTGCTGATATCTGACTTCCATGTTTGTTTAGGTTTCTTTGAAGTCCTTTGGTTTTTGTTATATCGTAAATAAATATGTATCTTGTGACACTTAACTTGTCTGGTCTCCCATCTTTGTTGCAGCCTATGAGCCGGGCCGTAACAGCTTGCATAATAAATTAGCAGTTTCTGATCACATCAAAACATTTACAAATAATAAAAATGGTCAAATACCAGAATAAGGGCTCTCATCAAAGTGACAGAGTCTGACAAAGATGTCAAGGTTCCGGAAGTGTTCCATGTAAACATCTCCTCCAGAGTATAATCATAACTAACGTACCAGTGTGCAAGCAAACATTCTCAAATAGACAAAGAGCTCCTCAACAGTTGTGTTGAAAATAAAATAAAAACACTGGTACTCCTAATTTAACTGACATGTTTGTAATACAAAGAAAAAACTAAAAATATGGTTTTAACCAGATTTGTTCAATTAAAGCTCAGGGAAACTTGACTTTTCCCTGAATGTGATGGTGGTGTCAGGATATTTTTACTACGGGGCTTAACTGGTGTTACAACATTCCCACCAGACTGAACAAAGCATTCACCTTGAATGGCTGCCCTCACAACCACTGAACTTAACAAGACCATATGTCAGCATTAAACTCATATTTTTCATAAAAAATGTCATGAAAACTTGTCCTTGTCTGCAATGACAGGTTAAGAATTCCTGTAAAAAGCTACAGCTACAATACACACAAACAAATTATTATTTAAAAAAAAAAAGATCTCAATTAAATTGTAATACCCAACATCATTTTTGAAAAGTCATCCTGCTTAAACAGTGTTTCCCCTATATACATGCTGCTGAATGTATGCGCGCCGCTGCTACGGGGCGCCAGCCAGGTATCAAAAAAGAGGCTGTGTGCTCCTCGCCACGGAGGAGCACACAGCCTCTGTGAGCGAGCGAGACAGAGAGAGAGCGAGAGAGCTAGAGAGAGCACACCTTTATCTATTTAATATGGTTGTAAAAAATAAAGTAAGAAATCATTCCAATGTGTACTATAGGACAGTACAAAAAAACAGTTTAAAAGGAGCGTGATTAGTAAAATATGCATAAAGAAAAAGAAAGAATGCTAGGTAACATAAGATAAGAATAAACAAGTTTAAATTATTTGTTATTGGTTGTGATCATATTCTAAAGATTTTTGGATTATTGAAAAGTATACAGCTCCCTTTCATAGTGCAGTATTGAGAGCTGTATCCATAAATTCATGTTGTGCTCAAAGTGCACCAGATTGATGCATTTAACTTCAACATTTAAAAAATAATCTTCCCGGGGGTGCATGCCCCCGGACCGCCCTAGAGGATGTGAGGTCCACCCCCAAATAAAGCAGGTTAAAATAATTAAATTGCATACATTTTATTTTGATTGTTTGTTATGTGGATGTGTAGTATTTGTGTTACTGTATGTTCAATAAAGGTGATTTTGCAAAATACACCAGTAGAGCCTCAAGAGCCTTTCTTGTGCTGGCAGACACATAGAAACATATTGGCGGGGCGCACTTCGCACGCAAAAAATATTCCACGCGCTCCGCGCTCACATTTTGCTAGGCACCGCTGCTATGACTCCATCCTAGGGGAAACACTGAGACATATTGGCTTAAAAAAGGTATGACTTCATTTGGAATTCATTAGTTATTTCTAGAATTACACATTTAATACAAAATAATATTTTATTTAAAATCTAATGCAATGTATTTATTGTTTAAAAAAAGATCACTTAATGGTGCATATTATTGTAGGTTATCTTGTACCAAGTTGATTATAAAAGTGTTGTTAAATTAATCACTATTACTATAACATTGATCTTTTTCTCCCTTCTTTCTTTAGGCACACTGCCTGTAAATGATGTGCAAAAAAAATCTTATGAACTAAATTCTGAACCCCTACTTTATATGAGCCAAAATGGATTACAAAGAGGTAGTCGCTGAGGTGTCTGGACAGACAGCAACTAAAGCCGAGTAAAATCTGGCAGTCCATTTGACTGTAAAGGCTACGTCATTGTGATTTCAGTGCAATCTGTTTCAGCCTCGGGAACCTCAGTAAAGACAAATCTTGACTGAGAGGAAACCACTGACTGAAACTGAGGAGGTGGTAACAGCAGACATAACAAGTGAAGACAGTATGGCTTACACGGCACATCAGACAACCGGCAGCTCGGGGCAAGTAAAATGTCTCAATGTACTCAACTGGTGTATCATTGAGGTCCTGGAAAATAACATTAATAGGGGTTGCTAAAACCTGCAGGTCTAGCAAAGATTGCCCAAACACCTTCATGCTACATTACTCTGCAACATACCATCACTGTGCAGGCCAAGTAACGGCAGCAATAACAACAGTGAGATAACCTGGTTTAACTGAAAGACTGACTTCCTCAGCAATGTTTAAAACACGCCCAATCCATATTCAACCAGAAGTAGCTTTTCCAACGTGCCTGTGACATTGATCATATATTTCAGGGCATTGCGAGGTTTGTGAGGCCTTGATGCAGCTTAAGCATCATTATGTTTCTGTCTGGTCAATAAAAGGAAAGAGGTTAGGTAAAAGCAGACAAGGAACAGTTTTTTAAACTCAAGATCCACTTCAACTTCTTCACCGCAGAATAACTTGCTACGGTTGCTAATTTGACAGTCTAAATGCAACAATTATGTTGCAGCACTTTTATCAATCGTGCCTGTACAGTGACGGTTTTAAACAGACACAGTTAGTGTGTGTACTATTAACTGATAACGTAAGCTCCATGAAACAAGCCATTTCATAAGGTTTATTTTATTTTTTTATTAATATTAGTTATAGAAAAGCTCTATCTCACAATATGTGGAGTTTGGGTACAACTTCTCCAACAGTAAAGCAGTACTTTCCTGGAAGTCAGCATGCAATACTTAACCTCACATCTCATAAGGCATTTCATGTAAAGTGATCCAGCTGACATTCAACAATGTTCATTTAAGAATATGTGTTTGTACTGTAGGATCTGAATATGAGCAGAATCCTTTTAAAAACCAATGTGATATCATGTGTTATACATTTTATTGATTAATTTGCTTCATTTTAGCACATTTCTGTGACCATATTGTTTACTTTTATTTCTGCACAGACTACACAGAATAAACTAGCCCTTTCAGCATTTTCTTCGATTTCTCAACTTAGAGGTTTTATCATTGTGATTATGAAGCAGTTTGGGTGCTGAACCTATCAAATCTATACACAAATTAAAAGAAGGAGAAGAGAAACAAATCGTAATGTCAGATCAAATGACTTTCATTATGATTTCATCAACTAAAAACACAGTGGAAATGTTGCTCGTTTTTTGCTTGTTTGACTAATGGTGACTCACTGAGAGCAGGAAACGGTATCTACTGAAAAGACAGCAAGCTTTTGTCTATCAAAATAGACCTCAAAACACTTATATGGCACAGCTAAGATATGATGATACTGTAATTAAAGAACATTTTAGGTAAGCATTCAATTAAATATCTGTACGGTGGTTAAGCTGCATGACAAGCACCTAGTCATTTTAAAAAAGCAATGAGATTTCCCCCTCATAAGTTTTAGCTGTGAACTCATCCCTGGCAAGAACAGGAAAGGGATATCAAGTTGTTGTGGACAACGCCCGTGGACCAAATCACTTTTAAGTTAGGGTAATTAAAGGTCAATAGTGGGAATTTTTTTATTGAGTTTTCAAATTGCTTCTTGTGGATATTACAACCGTTAAGGCAGTGCATCATTATACATGTCTACGCAAGTCGCCTGCCAGTTCAGAGTTAGTTGACATTATTCAAACGCGGATAAACATTTATGCAACTTCCCTTCCGAGCAGCGGTTTTAAGTGACTACGTATATTTAGTCAAGAACTGTTCTTAATAACAATTTTGAGGTGCTTGTACTTTACTTGAGTATTTCCATTGTATGCTACGTTGCACTTCTACTCCACTACAATTCAGTGGTAAATATTGTACTTGTACTCCACTACATGTAGTACCTTTTGGTTACTTCGCAGTTATAAATAAATGATCAAAACACTTCAAAAATACTTTAGATAGACCTGGAATAAATTCACAATTAGTTGAAAGAAGTTCCACCTTTGATAAACACATTAATGCATACAATTATAACCAAAACATATATTATAAGATTGTGAAATGGGCCAATCAGTGTTAATGAGTCCTTTACTTTTGGTACTTTAAGTATATTTAGATGCTAATACTTTAGTACTTTTACTTGAGTAACATTATGAATACAGGACATTTACTTGTAACAGAGTATTCCTACACTTTGGTATTTCTACTTTTACTTAAATGCAATATTTGAGTACTGCTTCCGAGTGTATTTATAAGCTAAACCGTCGTTATTCAAAGTGTCTGTTCGTGGACGTTAGCCTCAGTTTACCCCCCATGAACTGCCAAAAACAGGCTGTTTATCGTCAGAATACTCAACCTGTATCACCCAAACGTAATTTACTTCATAAACTACCAACCCTATCCCGTTAATCACGGGTTAGCAGGCCACAAATCAATACATTGACTACTATTAACATTAGCCGGCTAACGTTAGCTAGCAAGTTCGATAGCCAGAGTACAACTGCCTGATCCGATTAGAGCTAGCTCGGCTGACGATCACTGAGCACTTTCCTCTCCGTGTGAATCAATGGAAAACTTACCTCTAATATCTTGTAGGCAGCAAAGCAGGAGAATTATATTTAAAAATATCATATCGAAATCCCCCGGTAAACCAGCTAAGCGTCCCAGCGAAACCAGCGAATTTATCTTGTTTCGCTTCTTTCACAAGGTATAGTCGCCCTTCCTAGTTAGCTAGCTCCCATCACAACACAGCTCTGTCTGTCTACCGCAGCCCGACGTCAGACAGACAAACCCTCCTTTCCGGTGTGTTTTGTTATGCCCATGGCTTTTTTTTAAACCCGGACACACCCATTAATCTATGGGCATAGGTTAAGGGACTCTAAATATGCTACAAATCGATTAAAAAAACACCATTCAGTTTAGCACAAAACAACAACAAAATATCGGTGTTAATGGCAAAGATAGCAGCCTGAAAACATGCACAAAACTAGTGTTTAGAGGCTGAAAGTTGTTTACTTCCGCAATTCATGACTTCCTGAACCAACTGTTTTTGGGTTAGGGTTTTTATAGTGTCGAATTTATGGAGATCTTCAATTAGGAAAAGGGTGTATGGGAGACAAAATCATAAATAAAAGAAAATAGACAAAAACATGATAATACACATTTTTTAGTACGCATGTACAATGTTATACATATATATTAAAATATAAAAGCTATATCTAAAAGGCAAACACTGATATGCAAAGGTGGAAGAAGTACTCAGATCTTGTCCTTAAGTAAAAGTAGAAGTACCAGAGTGTAACAATACTCTGACAGGTAAAAGACTTGCAAACAAAAAGTTACAAAAGTATTAGCGTCGAAATATACTCTTAGTACCTAAAGTAAAAGTACTCATTATGCAGATTGGCCAATTTGAGAATAATATATAAAATATTTTGATTATAATTATTGATGCATTTAAGTGTTATCAAAGCTGGTAAAGAAGCTGCACATTTTAAATTCCTTTGTATGCTGAATGGTAGATTGTGAAATGTACTCCAGGTGCAATAGTCTTATTTAAGTGTTGATTATATTTCACATCATGATTCCAAATCTGTAAAGTAACTAAATGTATTAAATGTAGTGGGGTTAAAGTACACAATTTACATCCTAAGGAGAAAAACAGTGACTCTTCTCTCTTCAATAAATATTTTTAAAAGCTTACAGTACCGGAAGTTTTCAGGCGTATTTATGTTCTGTATATGAATATTTAACAAGCAGCACAATACACACTAGGATAAATCAACATGATAACTGCATGGCTGGGATTGAACCCACCACCTTCTGAATCAAAGAAAACAGCTCGTCCTCTCAGCCACAGCCATATTGTTGAGAAAAGATGAAGTCATAGGCTGAGTGTGCCAATCGAGCTAACCGTTTTGTTGTTAGAATTTAAGGCTTATTCCATTGTTTCTAAAGGACATATTAATGTAACCTGACTCCAGATTCCCTGGTAGCCTTGATTTTTTCTGAACAGATGTAAAAAAATTGGAGTGTCACTTCCTGTGATGAGTTTCAACAAATGTTATTACAATATCTCCTCTGACAAGTCCGCTTATAACCCTAACCCTAATATACGTAGAAGCCCAGCCAGTACAATTATACTGAAACAAGTCCAGGATGCTTTGGCTCAAAGTGTAAATAGGTGTCTAAGGGTCAGAAGGTTGGTGGTTGGATTCCCAGCATGGCAGAGTGAATTTTGGAGAGACATGTTTTAAACGAATGTATGTGTCTGCTTTGCTTTGCTTCTTTAGTTTGCAGTTGAGATATTGTAACAGGTTTTGATGAAACCTCTAGTGGCTTTAGCTCAAGATGTCTACCAAACCGAAAGTCTGTGGTTGGATTCCATCTCTAATCTTATGAAACTAATGAGGCTGTGGTAATTGTGGTGTAAGAAACGGAAATGAAAAGTCAATGGGAAAGCAACGGAGGCTTAAGTCCAGTTTATTCGAATGAGATGTTCAGGAAACCCGGCTCCAGATGTGCTGATAGCCTTTGACAGTCACTCGCTGTGAAGAGTCTAAACAACTGTGCTTAACAATATCTTGTCGTCCCCTTGTAACCCTAATAAATGTAGAAGCCAAACCTGTACAATTTGACTGGAATATGTACTGGTGTCTTTGGCTGAAGGGGTAAACGGATGCCTAACGACCATAGGGTTGGTGGTTTGATTCCTAGCATGGCAAAATGAAGTGTGGTGGGAGGCAAGATGTCATGTTGAAATTACAGGTTGTTTATTTTATTTTTTTAAGTGTCTGGCCATAAAACATAATTGAAAGTTCCTTTGTATATTCACAAAAATTAAGCAAATGCAATTAAAAAAGAAAATATTTGATGCAAAAGCCTTGATACCTTAAACAGATGTTATTAATGTAGTAAAACCATAGACTGTATATGAGTAAAACCACCGGGGGAAGTGTTAGGAGATGTGTGATGATGAGATGTTGGTAGAACTTGACTTTATGACAGGGACGTTATTTAATATTGCGTTGCAGTCTGCTTAATAGTTAAAGAAACAAAACAATTGAAATGGATCTACACAGACTTGAGTGCTACAATATTTAATGGTTTTAAAAGTCACATTATTGGAAAATTAGAAAAAAGAGGATTCGTGATGGTGGATGTATTTACAGTATTAGAAATAAAAATGACACAATGTAATATACTTTTAACCTGTTCCTATTGGTCGGATCCAGTCAGCTGACAGATCATGTGACCCAGCTGATGTTTTGACAGGAAGACATTTCCAAGCTTTTCCTGTTTACTGTCATTTAAATCTCTGTTTTTTTACATTATTTATTAAAAGTTGACTAACATGTCCAAATTGCACATCTTGACACTAAACCAGTGTTCTTGTTTATTACATTTCTTTGTGCATGCTATTTGTCAGAATATTTATAAGATAGACTTTTAAAAAGTGGTGTGGACAAAATTGGCCATTTCAAAAAGTGGTGGGGACATGTCCCCAGCGACCCCAGCGCAAATGACACCTATGGGTGAATTAATCATACCTTACCCTACAAATTAAACGCATAACACATATTTTTCCTTGGCAGCATATCCTCTGCACTGTCATTGTCTACACCTACGGTATACCTATTGTCCCAACCAACAGCTATACCAATCAAATACTTTGGGCTATGGGTTATCATGGTTAGGGGACACTAGATGTGAATGCAGTCTGACTGATAGTACATCTGCCTGTAAAGCTCTGTGGCTGTGACGAGCTATTCTGTTCGGTCGGTTAACTGCTGCCATCTAGCGAACACTTACTGCATGTATCTGTCAAATACTGCAGATCTGTCAAATACTATGTATTGCCTACAAAAGCATGGCTTTTCCTGCCACAAATAGTGTTTATATAATTTAAATAATTTTATAGTAGCCGACAAGTATTTGTTGAGCATGGTGGTTGAATTGTGTAACAAAGCGTTCACAACCTAACCTTAATAAAGGTTGGGTTTTTTGCACCCAAAGAAATAAAAACACATTTGTTTTAATGTGTGTTCGAACCATGATGTGTCTCACTGCAATGACTGCAGAGGATAATATATAATAATAAAAATAAGAGTTCTACATCCATGCTGCCACATATTTTCCAAGTCTCGTTTGTCCTGCCAGTAGTACTGTGATCTGACAACGCGAGATTTATATGGTCTAACAAACGCGCGAGCTCCTCGTACGCAAGATGACAACGGCCACGGCGTTTCTGTTCAGGAGTCCTCGTAAAAGTGGTACTTTTGAACGGTTTACAGATAAAGCCAGCCATACACCATACAAACAAAAAAGATAAGTACAAAGTACAAAGATTTTACATTTTATATTCTATATTTTGCCACCTTACTGAAGGCGGTCGTACAAATACAACTTATTCTTTTGAATGACTCTAATAACTTTATTGATACTCTACTTTGCTTATGACAACAGCCAAAGAGTCAATTAAACATAGAAAAAAAAAACACATTATAAATAGAAATAACACATAAAAACAAAACAATAAACGTTTTTATACAATTAATTGTGTAGTATTTTTTAACGATGATAATATGTATAATACAAATTCAATATTCCTATTCTTCAATGCTCTTTAAGACACGTGTCATTTAGGGTTTTAAAAGGCATTTAAAATGTTAATGGGGGGGGAATGTTATAAAGTCAGTATAAATTAATATCTGGGGGATGGCTCACCTGTTTTACGCGAGGGACAAACTGAAGAATACGGGCCCACTCAAACGCATCACCCCCTTTGCTCGGCCTGAAAGCAATTCACTCTGATGACGTCACTCGCAGAGTTGTCATGGCGTCTTTGGGACTGAAGCTGCTGCTGCAATTTAGCTAAAATCTGTCGACAGTCTGTACATCGAAATGGAGAAAAATGCAAGCCTGCATCGAGACACTGACGGGAGCACGCTGTGTGCCACGATTGCAGGAAAGATGGGCGATGTTACGGCTGTCGGTGGAGTAAAAGGAACAGCTGATAAATGCAAGAATAGTGAGGCTGCTCTCAGTAGTTTGGTCAACGTTAGTTGTAATAACAGCATCACAAATGTGAGTGCTCCCGGCGCAGTGAATGTCATCTCTAGTGCTGGGAAGTCGGACGTGCTAGAAGTGATCCAAGTCCTCCCCGTGCAGGAGCATAAGAAGAAGAGGAGCGAGTCGGGGTCCGGGGATCAGATCAGTAACGGGATGGGGCATGACTCGGTGCTGGCTGCAAGAGATAACGAGGGTGGTGCCTCAAAGTTAGTAAACAACACCCCTGACGGCCCGTCCTCACCTCCCGCTAAGGAGGGCGCAGATGTGCATGCTGAAGTGTTGACTTGTGCAGAAAGTGAACCGACAAAACTTGCCAAACCGACTCATCTTTGCACGGACAACGCAATCACGGCGCACGTCAGATCGGGGCTGTCCGGTGATCACACCTTATCGGAGGGATTGCCGAGTGGGAGTGACCCCGATCCCAGCCTCGGTGGAGAGTCCCGAAGCATTGATTCCCTGGAGTCTTTCTCTAACCTCAACTCCTGCCCCAGCTCCGATCTGAACAGCGAGGGGCTGGAGGACCGAGGACTGGCCCTGGCGCTGCAGGGCGAGTACGAGGCCGATGGGACAAAGACAGCCTGTGCGAAGGAACGGGCCGCCGCCGGACAGTCTCTATACCACATCAAGTGGATCAAGTGGAGGGAGGAGAACACGCCGATCATCACCCAGAACGAGAACGGCCCTTGTCCATTACTGGCAATCATGAATGTCCTTCTGCTTGCATGGAAGGTAAAGAAGATGAGCATAGATAAATAGAGACTAGGACTCTCTCTTAATTCAAATTGATATATTTGTAAAGCTCTGTCAGCAGCTGTTCTATATAATCATAACTATAGTACATTTAGACTCATTTAACACTTCACCTGACCTAACACTAAGTCCTGGTGCCTCTACCCCTCAGCACTTTCTGTTGGGAAGATTATTTCATTTAGTATTTTATATCAATGATATGAGGTGTTTTACAAACTGTAACACATGGGTCAAAAATACTAAATTGTTTTGTATTGTTTTTTTAGTTCACTTTTTTTAGCACTGCATTAGTTCACTGTTGCAGTGCTTTGTTTGATGCATGGGTTCAGAATTAATGAACAATGATACAACTGCAACAGTTAAGTGACTAATGATTAGTCAATCAACTATTGTCAGCTATTTTCAACATCTATAAATTGTTATAACTATGTATACAAAGAGGGATGCTTTTCTTTGTTTTATATCCAATACAACTGAACATATTTGGAATCAAAACAAAACAAGACCTTTAAAAACATCACATTGTAGTTTGACAATATTGGATATAGATTTTTCACTATTTTCTGACATTTTACAGACCAAACAATAATCGATTCATCTGTAATTGATAGAATACCTGGTTAAACTGCCCTAAACAGTGGGTTTCCATGTCTCTCTGTTGCAGGTTAAGATGCCACCTATGATGGAAATTATTACTGTTGAGCAACTGATGGAGTATCTTGGTGAGTGTCTATTAAAACGTATTAAACATGAGCAGGTTGACGCCACATCACTGATGAAAGGGCAACCTCAGTGAATATGGCATTCTTCTGCTTTTTTCCTCTGGCTTCACATTTACAATAACAAACTGTGTTTAATATAACCTGTTTTGTAATTTGCAGAAGTTAACATTTAGAAAGTAGTTCTCTCCAATACTAACATGTTGATCTGCTTTTACGTAGCATTGCCCATGAGTGCACATACCAGCCAATAAAGCTGCTGGCAGTGAGTTCGAACAGACTAGTAAACATTATTAGGTTTCACGTCCTCTCAAATTCTGGCGGATGCATACTTTAGGTCAGAGATATATATATATATATATATATTCCAGTCAACAGAGGAAGAGAGCAGAACAGGGGAATCCCCTTGATTAAATCTTCTGCTGTTGCAAAGGAAACAGGAGCTATCTCTTCTCTCTGGCTGTCTCCTGCCCTTCATAACTTTAGAATATCAAAGTCGAGAGAGTCTTATTACAGCAGGGGTTCTCTAGAGGTAGAGCTGGGCTTCACTAGCTTCTCCTCTCCAGTATCCACTGCCATGAGTAGACTAAAGTAATCCACATCACAGAACTGTATGTGAACTATTTTATAGTAGATTTTCCCCTTACTTGGACTTTGTATTGGCATGAATCAGGATACAGGGTTTCAGTTCAATATATTGCAATTCTGTAAGAAAGACGATACATTGCTTTTTACAAATATAATTGTAAGAAAACTGTTATAGTTTAAAGAACACATCGCCATATGTATACAATCTGGGTAAAACAAATGTACATTTTTATGCAATCAGAACAGTTGGATCTACATGCTGTCCCTTTAGCATCATTGTACTACTCATTGTGCGATATGAGCCACAGTTTGACCCTGGTCTTTGCATGTAAACTATTATTTATAAATCTAAACCATGTTTTGAGAATCGATACAATAGTCCAAAACATAATAAAGTGACACTTAAGTGTACCCCTGATATGGATTGTTGAACTTGTTCGTGTCCAAACAGTGCTCTCATCTCTATTCAATTGCAGTTAAGTAATGAAGGAATTCAGCAGTGTCATCACTATGTGCTTCTTTTTTTTAATATCCAAAAGTGCTTATTTGTGCTGTATTTGGGTGGACACCTTGTGCTTGCATTCAATATCAGCACACAACATGGATATCTTATCACGTCCAGGGGCTGCTAGATACTTCTAACCTCAGCAGCAATTGTCAAAACACACAGACACAAGGAGTGATGGTAGGTGATGTGTAGTTTAAAGCGGGTGGTGGTCCTCGTCAACAGTATGCAACGTAGCATGGCCAGTGATCCAGACACATTGGGGCAGACAGACACAGATATTAGTGGAGAATCAGAGTTCAGTGAGTCCACAGTTCAAGGGAATACAAAGCAGCGAGGGGCTTTCCCTGCCGTCCACATGCTGGAGTAAATCCACTCCGCTAGCTGGCCCCCTGCTGGAAAAAATGATTGAATTTCCAAAAAATACAAACAGGTATTTTTGCCTTTGCCTCTTTACAATCAAAATACAGTATTACCAACTTATAACTGAGTTGTAATGTAAAGTGCTACTGTTTTTTAAAACTGCAACTAGCAATTAGTCTGTTGTTCATTCCAAAAGCCTTGATAGTTCACACGTTTGACATAGTCTATGAACCTGGTTGGTGTATCCGTTTGCATTCACATGAAGAAATCATCGTGCCTTTCTTGGACACTCATTACAATTATTAAGCACAAATTCCAATACACATACAGGCTGTTTTTCCCACTGAATCCACGCCATTCATTCTATTTGCTTGTGCAAAACAACAAAAGTGTTTTTTCTCCATGTGTAGCTGTTTTCACTCAGTGTAGCTGTTGATGACAAGAGGTCCATGGCATTCCTCTGAGTAATACTCAGATCAAGTATGTGTTGACAGTGCAGCGTGGCTCTCTTGCCAGTTCCCAATAAATACACGAGTCTCTGTGAAGCGTTTTGAAAAACACTTACGCATGAGTTTTAAAAGTAAGGACTGCATTTAAGCTTTTGCAGCAATAACAAAAATATAATTGCATGGCTTCCTTAGCCATTATATCAATGTGATTTACAGAAAAGGTTTCTAATAACACAGAACAAAAAAAAAATGTACAAGCAATAAGTCTGAAAGATTTCAAAAGAAAATGTAATCACTGTTTTTTTGACGGATAAGATGTTGCAGGGAATGATCATTTTAAAATCATTATTCTAGTTTCTATTAAAAATACTTTAAAATAATCATGGTCGTTTTTTTTTCTAGGATCTATTTAAAACAAATACCATATGCAATATAATTGGTATGCTTGAATATCACTACAGCCCAATTATACTTTATTCAGAATTTTTTTTGACAAATACTTTACCTTTAACAGATATTGCGCCTCAGGCAGTTCGGATATTTGACTAGACCATTTCCGGATTTCTTTTTGTGACCAACTTTTTATTGTTCTTTTTTGTTGCTCTCACAGAGGGACCTATATACACAGATACAAATTATATAGACAATAATAGAAAAAGGAAAGGCAAAGAAAAAATATAGGGAATCCCTTTCCCATGCTAGATTTGTTGTTCTGTGTTCATATGAAACATTTTGTTTGTAGCGCCGAGAGCTACAGAGATCTCAGGTGACGCCACAGAGGACAGAGACTACTGATGCTGCATGTTCGGTACAGCCTCCACTTGGTAGAACAGCTGGCCCAATGGCTTTTCGAAACATCTGAAACCATCTGTCTTCTTCTATACAAATGCTTAAGATAAAAAGCTATTGCGATAATCAGTCATGGTTGTTTCGCTCTGTCATCATCTCTTTCCCTCTGTCCCTCTGCAGGAGACTACATTCTGGAAACCAAGCCTAAAGAGATATCAGAGGCTCAGCGGCTAAACTATGAGCAGGTAAGGCCTGCTTAATCACTGATTAATTATTATTAAACAGACATGTGTTTCTGCTTATGTGTGTGCATCAGTAATCTGCTGACTGTTCGTGGTACCTAAGGAGCACAGGGCTTTGGGGACGAACACACTCTCTCTGTGCTGAAGCCAGTGTTTGGGAGTTCAACAAGAGCTCTCACTTCTCATCGACACACTCAAAATATACCTCCGCTTGATGTATTTTCACCACAGTACACAAAGTGAGGTGCACACTTTGCTCTGATGTGCATGCTTACACTAAAGCCGGTTTTGTACATTTGCATTAAGGTAAGAAGATCAGCGGTGTTTCATAATATGGAAATAAGCATCGAGATGATGACAAACCACATGAAACTGAAGCTTAGCTTTTTTCCATTACTCTATACGTTACATAAGATATGTCTCAGAAGGGGGTCAGGAGTGTCAGATTATGTTGTTTCACATGGCTGTAAATGCTTAGAGACGCATGGCTGAGTCCAGTGTGTGTGTGTGTGTGTGTGTGTGTGTGTGTGTGTGTGTGTGTGTGTGTGTGTGTGTGTGTGTGTGTGTGTGTGTGTTGTGGTGTGTGTGTGTGTGTGTGTGTGTGTGTGTGTGTGTGTGTGTGTGTGGTGTGTGTGTGTGTGTGTGTGATTGTGTGTAGTTGTGTGTGTGTGTGTGTGTTGTGTGTGTGTGTTGTGTAGTGTGTGTGTGTGTGTGTGTGTGTGTGTTGTGTGTGTGTGTGTGGTGTGTGTGTGTGGTGTGCTGTGTGTGTGTGTAGTGTGTGTGTGTGTGATGGTGGGTGTGTGTGTGTGTGTGTGTGTGTGTGTGTGTGTGATGGAGCTCCAGCTACCCAGCTTCCTCCCGTCTCCACTGCCTGCCGAGTGCAGTGTGGGAGGCCCGGCCTCTCCTCCTCTTGCGTGGCAGAGCACCAGCACATCTGTGAATAATTTGAAGCCACACTTGCCCCTCATTCAAAGAGGAGCAAAAATAATGTGCAGTCTCCTCATAGAAGCTCCCTGCAACGCTCTTTCTAAATTTAAGTTGAGCAGAAATACAACCTCTTCAATAAATCAGTGGTGGCCTCAGCATGCACAGTTAAAGTAAGGGAGTGGTATGAGTTTGTGTTGCATAGTTATTATGGCAGTCTATTTCTAGTCACTGGCCTGAGAGCTCTTTTGCGAGGCTGTCCTCATGTCCGTGTGCTTCATGTGTGGAGACCAAAGTGGGAAGCTCTTTGAGATCTAAGAGAGAAAGTCTGAAATGTGTTTATGTGCATGTCAAACAAAAGGTGTCCTCCTCTTTATATCTTGGAGAGCTTTCATTGCTTATTGGATTGTTAGAAAATACAACTCAAGCTACCCTGCCTTTGAAAAGAGCAGTAGGAGTTCATAACAGAAGTAGTTCTATTTATAAATTCTGCTTAAACACATCATCTGCCACAGGAGAGTATGAGGATTAAAGTAGCATTTGCACGGTGGCTCTTTTAGCTATTGTTCAATATTGACTCGGAGGAGCAGTGGAAGTGAGAGTGAAGCCTCTTTCACAAGGCAATTCATCCATATGACTGTTGAAGGCAATGGGTTATCATGTTTGAGAAGCCTTTTTTTTTTTTTTTAAATGTAGTGTCATTCAAAGTTCTGGGCCTTGTTCCAAAATGTTTCTTAAACCTTTTTCTTTTGGTTCTGAGTAAAGCAGATAAAATGCAAACATGGGAGTTGAAAAGCATTGTTGCGTATGTCCTTAACCCTAGCCGCTTTGATGATGAACGATGCACTTTTTTCCAACAAATCTGTTTGGTAAGCTCCCTGGCAATCGAATGATGGGTCCTCTGAATAGGAATCTACCTCAAATTGACATTAGGTGATATGATGAACAAATTCTGATGGTGATGTCAGAGACAAAGCAAGAACCATACAAGCTCATAGGAGGATGGGAGAAAAGGGAGAGACTTGGCTGTCAGTTATACAGGTTGTGATGTTGGATACGTATTTAATTCAAGCAGGATCTATCTAATTATATAATCAGAAAATATGCTTTACACAGGGTTATCAGTTTGATGGGTACACGTTTACAATTTAATGCAATCCATTACAAGCTCCAGTGCACAAGCATGTATCGTTTTATGAATCCTATAATCAATTTATGGTGAGAAGTGTTCTGTCCTCTTTATGTGTGAATGGGGCCTGACAAATGCTAGAAACTTTGTATTAGCTTGATGACGCATCCAACAGAAAAGTAGAGCAGTGACAGCTGTGGATATGTGCCAGGCTTCATAAAAGTATGACCCACATTATGGGACATTACAGCCTAGTAAACCATTTTTATTATTTACAGCTCCCACTGATGGGTTGTGGTGTTATGATATAGTTTACATTTGTCCTGCAGGGATTGATATGAGGTTAATGGATATGTTGTGTTTAACATCCCCTAAAAATGAGTTGGTTTAGCAATGGCACAAGAGTGTCAGGCTTGGTTATAGACTTCTTTCTTGGCGGCATGTTTCTTAACGGCCAAACATCCATTATGACTAAAGAAAGGAAAGCTTTGTAGGAACAAACTCCTTTATCTTGGTACTGTAATGTCATATTCTGTCAACTACCAGTTAATACCATCTGTTTGGATTTAGTTTTTAGGTACATTTTAGGTTTTTAGGTACATTTATTTCATTCAAACCTAAGCAGAAGAGGGAAAGTAACTATGTAGAAAGGCCATCGCTAACGTTACTGTGGAACTGCATCCAACACACGCACAGATGAATGCCAGTGATGCTTTGATAATCATCGCCAAGCGCTCATCTGCTGTTGGATCCCTCTGCCCTAAAGTGAAGAGCTGTGGTCCATTACACAGCCCTGCTAATCCTGCCATCACTGCCGCTCATAAACGCCCTAATCCACACACTGAGATCATCAGATGGCCCGCTGAAGGCTTTTCACCTCAGCTCTCCGCACCAAAGCTGCAGTAGCTCACCCTCACTATAACTATTACTTTAAAAAAATCATTTTATTTTATGATTTGACAGCAATTATACTCTTCAGTGGACGTGCAACAGGTTAAAAAGTATTTATTCAGAAGCCTTTGAATCTGTTTGCTTTTTGGGATTTGAGACTTCATACTAGAAAAACCTTAAAATGATTGCAACACATCATGTAAAATAAGTATTCACATTTGAAATAATAAAAAAAAAGCTGTTGTAGTGAAACAAATATTATGCTGTTCAGAATATTTTAACATTGCCAGGTGTCAAATAAACAAAAGGATGTGGAGTGCATTCAACCGTGTTTCACTATTTTAATTTAGACCAGATAAAAACGTAACAAGTGTTTTTAAATAAACACTTTTATAACTTATTTTGAAAGGAATTATGTACATTTTGATTAGAATTATTATTTTAGACATAATAATATTTATTTTAAAGCTGTAAAAAAAACTTTCAGACTTTTAAAAGCAAAAGTACAAAGAATTTATAAAACAAAAATAAAATGGCAGACAAAATTACTAAATAATAAAAAAATGGTTAAACAGGATAACATCTTCACACTAGAAGACAGTGGTAGTTGATTACCATTTAGCCATACTGTTAGGTTGAATCTTCTGTTTGTTGTCTAGGGTTTATTGTTGTGGTATCTGTAAACTAATTGGCTTGGCTTTTGGCTCATTTTACTTGTATCTCTGCTGTCACTAGTCATTTATTGTTGGAAGAATGAGAGGAAATCACTCACAACACAAACACAACAGAGTTGAAGGGCTCAGCTGCAAGGCTTAACTTGATCCCAGACTGTAATGGCAGCAGAGGTTTGGAGCCAGCTGGGAAACATTGCTCTGAGCTCTGTTTGGTTCTCAGGTGTGTGGATGCATACACGTGAGTCATATATCTATAGATATATATGGCATACATATGATGTTATGTGTATATAAAGTCTCTAGGGTGCATCCTTTCCAATCATCAGATATATCCTACTTCAGGTTTGTCTTTTTTAAAGCAGCTTTTAAAGTCCTCGAGAAAAACAATGGCTTCACTAATTGCAGGGTGTTTAATAGTTTTATAAAAACAAATCTCAGTTCTTGTCCGTTTTAATTGGATTTCACCTGGTGTGGCCCAAACAGAGCTGAGAAATATACCTCTTCATGCTGCTTTTTGGTTCTCACACTGATTAGAAAAGAATCAGAGCTGTGTTTAGTGAGATGGAAGAATCAGAACTAGTGTTTGACTTTTCAATTATATTTTGTTATCACTAGTATTAGAGAAAAAGGTTTTGAAAGCTTCCAAAAATATACAAATGTAGAGAGAAATTATTATAATTCACTGACTGAACGATTGAAGAGAACCGTTTCCAATATGACCACCATCCAATCGCTTACTGCATTATATTTTAGGGAAGTCACAATTGCAACAACAAGCATCTGCAATTATGTCCTCCTAATTGTAAAACATGTATAAAACGCTGGTATTAAAAGGTGGTAAAAAGCTGTTGTGAAATTGGCTGAACTGATTTTGAGTTCATACTCACTGCTGAAGGCAGAAAAGAAGTCAAGCAAGGTGAAGCGATACTTTCTCAGGGTATGTGTGAAATCGACAAGCTTTTACAATTTTGACCAGACTGCTGCTTTAAGATAGGTCCGGGGGTCTGACTTTAACATGATGTTTTTGCTGAAATATACCCAGAGCAGCTTTTTTGGGTTCTGTGTTCTACTCAGTAAATGCCCCTGGCATCTCAATGCCTTGAGGCTTAGTTTTGTGTAACGTTACTTCCCTGTGACGCTGCATACTTTATATACATCAGCTTGATTTCTGTGTACATTTCAGTGTCCACAGACCGCCCACTGTCTCGCACACAGCATGGGGCTTTGCAGACTTTGACGGCCTTTGTTTTTAAAAAAGATTATTGTTTTCCTCCTAGTATCAGGGCTGAGTCTGTTCATTATGAAGGGGGCTGGTATCATGTGAAAAAGTGACGTCAATGCATACCTTCTGCTACAGTGAGTCATCTCCCATCATCTGGACAAAAACACACAACGATGTCGAAGCCATATAAAGTTGTTGAAAAGGTTTTATAACGTTATTGTCAAGCTTTATTTTGTATCTTTATATTATGACACGTGCTTTAAATTGCTGAGCTGACCCATTCTCTCCTCTAATACAAGTCATTGTACTGTTGACTCTGTATTAACCTACTTATGATTAATAAAGTTAAACTGAAACTAATTATGGCCAACACAAGAGGTGTCAGTGAGATCAAAGCTGTTGGATGATCTCTGTGGTGGCTTGTTATAATGTTGAATCATTCTGTGATGCACTGTTTGAGCCTTGAGAAATATTAAACAGTGGGCATTGATTTGTGTGGACATACAAACAAAGTAATGCAATCTGTGTTAACAGAATGCATCTTTGAAAAAGGGAATCATCTCTCTGACATGACTGTACTGAAAATATAACATATTAGGGGCAGATGTGTGGGAAAGAGTACTACAAGTTGCTTAACATGTAGTCAAAGCATCCCTTTTAGGCTTTTTCAGACGTAATTTGACCTTACGTCATCTATATAGATGAGAGCTATAAGATAAGAAAGTTATAAAAGTGAGGAAATTATCACTAAAGGATTTTAAACATACTTTGATGCTAAAGCTATTATTTACGCAAAATAAATTAAAATCCCACATTTATGTTTAATTCATATATTAATTTTTTTAAGTTTTATTTATAAAGCACATTTAAAAGCGATTTTTGGTCGAGCCAAGGTGCTGTACATGTAATAAAAACACATTACTACAATCACAATAAAAGACAATAAATTCGTACTCCGCTCTAACTAGCTTTTAACATTGAGATGCATATCGTCCTTTTTCTTCTTCTCTTCTCGTTTACTGTTACGTCTTTAACCCTTTAACTACCAAGGGAAAAATTATTTGTTTGCATTTTTTTATCAAAAGAGCCACAAATAACCACAAACAATTTTAATTTTTTTGACTGACCACACAGTTTTGTTTTTATGAGCCTCTACCAACTGGTCGAGCTGGCCTTTTATGGTAAAAGTGCATTTTCAACAATCATATACAGTACAGTATTTGTATGCATCAAACTCAAATAAAACACAAACTGAAATACATTTTTTTCTTTTATGGAAAATGAGCAATATATACAACCAGATATATTCATAAAAGATAATAAATTATAATTGTAAAAAATGAAAAAAAGTAATGTTAAAGGTGGGGTAGGTAATTTTGGAGAAACCAGCTCGAGTGTGCTAGAATTTGAAAATACACAAGCGGATCCGCTACTTCCTTATAGAGCCCCTCCTCCAACACACATGAACGCGCACATGACCAATGAGGGCAAGAGATACGTTTGTGCACAGATGGAAGGCTGACAGGCAGGTAGGCCATCCAGTTATTTTAGCCGGGCCGGCTAAAATGATTGGTCGTGCTTTTTACAGTATTACGGCTTCCACAGATGAAATTTTTTTATGGATTTTTTGTCAAAGCACTTAAAGGCCCAGACACACCAGGCCGATATCGGCCGTCTTCGGTTGTCTGGCGACAAAGCGTGCCCTGTCACCCAAAGTCAATTTGGTGTGTCCCGAACCCTCGGCCGTGACACGCCTTATTTAGCCTTTCACGGTCGACACCCGGCCGATTCAACATGTTGAATCGGCCGGGTGTCGGACACAAGCTATCGGGCCAAGAAACCACTCTGATCAGCTGTTCAGCTAGCAAATGAGAAACGAAACGGAAGTGAGGGACGTAAACAAACGATTTAAGAAGGCACAGGACAGCAGCTAAACCCCAGCAGGTGATACTTAAAAGACATCAAACATAGCCCTTAAATGTCCTCTCTTACCTCCCACACATAGCAGGGACATCTCTGATATCGGCGGGAGCGTCCCCGGCTGTCCTCTGCTGAGAGCTCCGTGATTTGTTTGGTCAAGTCCGGTTTTTCATCTCATCGGTTTATTTGTCAGTATAAAGTTGCAGGATTAGTCTCAAGTACCTCAACATTGTCCTTAAGTACAGTGTCTAAGTAAATGAGATACTGTCTACTGCTGTTCATTTACCTATTGTGAGTCGCCTCGGATAAAAGCATCACATGGAAATGTAAATTTAGCAAGAAGTGGCCATTATTACATTACTACATTGCTGACTCAATAAACTACACACCCGCCAGAACACTGCGATCATTAGATGCAGGTCTATTAACTGTGATTTTATAGTATGTCTGCACTTTATGTGCTCATTTCATCATTCATGTATTTTTATATTCTAAAACATGTTTTCGATGGACGAGAGTGAAAATGGAACGCACACGCTATTTGTTGTTTGTTTATATCAGTCTGTTCTTCTTCTCTGTCTTCCGGTTGTTGCCTATTTTGAATGACGAATACACACTACCGCCGCCTGCTGGTAAGGAGAGTTATTGCCACTCACGCATGCGCAGTTCGTACGTGCTCGGCTGAAGTCTTTGCGGTGTGTTTCAGTGCGACACATGGCCAAGACGCAGGAGAACTCGCCGATGCAACTGTCGGTGTCGGCGAGTTCTCTGGTGACGGCCTGGTGTGTCTGGGCCTTTAGATATTCATTGCTATCGGGATGTTAAGAGCATTCCATGGAATATAACAAAAAGTGTATCTCGAGCCAGTTTCTCAAACTTACCTACGGTATGTAATTTATTTCAGAAACACTTTTTGTTATATTCCATGGAATGCTCTTAACATCCCGATAGCAATGAATATATTAAATGCTTTGACAATAAATACATAAAAAATGTCATTTGTGGAAGCTGTAGTACTGTAAAAAGCACGACCAATCATCTGAGCCGGCCCGGCTAAAATAACTGGATGGCCTACCTGCCTGTCAGCCTTCCATCTGTGCACAAACTTATCTCGTGCCCTCATTGGTCATGTGCGCGTTCGTGTGTGTTGGAGGAGGGGCTCTGTAAGGAAGTCTGAAGGTGAAGTCTTTTTTTGTGCATCAAGTTATCTAATTATTTTCAGTCAGTGCTCTGACACTAAAAGATGTCAAAAATGATATGGTTACCTTACAAAAGTTGACCAAAAAGAGTGATTTCTTCAGCAGTGATTTTTAGCATGCCAACTTTCTCAGTGGAAGCTAGCTGAAGGGCATTCTGTTCGAACCACAGTGACATCTAGAGGTTGTTTTGTGCATAACATGTCAACCAAATGGTAGAGCTGGCTGAATCAGATGGAGTTAAACTTTTTTATAATTTTTTCAACAAGATATCAAGACACAAAATGTGCTCTACCAAATGGTGGCGCTGGCTGTTAAAGGGCTAAAGTAAAAAATGCCCCAAAAAAACACAGAGTTAATGGAATGCATTATATTGTCGAGTGTTCCTGATATTTTGTCCACCCCTTGCTAATATTACCAAAGGGAAATATCAAATGTCTCTCAACAATGAGTCTGAGTGCTCACTCAGAAATATATTATCAAATGATTTCCTGGCAGCGACTTCCATTTCCTCCTGTGGTTGTGGGATGATTGACAGTAAGCAGAGCGAAAACGAATAAGTGCTGTAAATATGAAAACTCTCAACTGAGTCACAGGAAAGTGTAAAGCAGAACTACTTGATAAAACAAATTTGAGGCACAAATGTGTGGAAACTGTTTTTTTGTAGTGTACAGGAATACATGTCAGCTAATGGCTTCTCGTAAGTGTAGAAAAATCAATCCAGCTACACTGACTGTGTGCAGACAAACAGGAATAATGAGACACACAAAGGCACGCGCAACAGCTGGACAAGGCACAGCTTGTTTAATACAAAAATATAAAATACAAACGTTTTATTAAAGATATTTGTTAGTACATTGTATACAGTATGTATACACTTTGCTGCATTGTTATCACACATTTCCTAACATAGCATCTGATCTCCTTATTTCCTAGAACATGAGTGATGCCATGGCGGTGTTGCACAAGCTGCAGACGGGTCTGGATGTGAACGTGAAGTTCACAGGGGTGCGGGTCTTCGAGTACACCCCAGAATGCATTGTGTTTGATCTGCTCGACATCCCTCTGTACCACGGCTGGCTGGTTGACCCCCAGGTGAGATGGACTTCACTGCTGCCTCTCTTTACTTCCCAGAAGCAATCTTGTTTTATTGCTTGCCTCTCTATCCTCAACACGTGTCCTTAGAATTCATTCCAAGTATTAAAATATTCTACCGGCCAGTTCTTGACGTTTTTCTCAGGTCGTGCTCACACTAGTTATTGTCTGTTTTGTACTAACCCTAATTTATGACAAACAAACCTAGAGGGGTGATAATGAAGTAATACACGCAGACAGGAAACTCTCAGAAATCTTTGCTCATCCTGATTTATCAGTGATACATGAACTTACCTGACTGAACTTGAGTGAACCTCAATGTGCCTTATTAATCTTCTGTAGAGTGGCTTATAAATAAAGATAGAAAGCAGGATGAAAACCTGACGTCACGCACCATATGGTATGAATACCATGCTGTAGAAGAGTGGGACCACACATTTTGCTGAGTTAACTGCCAATGGTTACCAAATTATTTTTGGAAAACTATACAGGCAATCAGTGCCTTGACATTTGCCACATTTAAAGATTTTAGCGTTTGAATGAATAGTAATGTCATATAAACTGTACTGAGTCAAACTTCTGTGGTATGTCCTTTATGCGTTCAGAGTTCTCTTGGAAGCAGACCGCTTCAATTATATCGTTCACACAACCCTAGATAAAGATGGTAAACATGAAGAGGGATCAAGTTTACAAAGTGATACTAGTTTCAGTATGAACCTCATTTCACTACAACGTTTCTCTCTGTTCTACATTTTGTATAAATCGACTGTGGTTTTCATTAAATCAGCTTCAAAGCTTGGTGAGTGTTCTTTCCCACAGGTTTTGCTGTTTTTGTTTGCAGATGCAGGACATTGTCAAGGCAGTGGGAAACTGCAGCTACAACCAGCTGGTAGAGAAGATAATATCCTGCAAACAGTCAGACAACAGTGAGCTAGCAGGGGAAGGTGAGTGCTATCCTCTCTCTCTTCTCCCCCTCTGCTGTCTGACCTGCCTGACTCCTTCCTGTCACCCTCAGCTCCTCTCCCTCCCTGGGCACTTGGTGGTGGAGGAAAAAAAACGAAATCATGCATTTTGGGGACATTTTAAAAGTGAAAATTAGCTTCTAAGGAAAAATACATTTTTGATTTTAAAAAATCTTCTTTCTTTTAATTATACTATCATGGGGTCGTCCATATCGAGCATCACAAGTAGGACTTTTTACTGGAAAGAACATGAACAGCAACTTCATTAAATGATATGTGTTTACTGTCCAGGGCAAGCCAAAAGGAAACCAGGACATACATGTGTCCTTTCACTAAATAACCTACTTCCACAGCTCACACTTTTCTTTCCAGCTGTTGGTAACGTCTCCACTGAAAATATTTGCTCATTCAACACTGAGCTTCCTGAGTGAGCTGGTCTGCTGCAAAATCAACACATGAAAGCTTTGAGCCGAGGGTGATACGGACCTGGCACTTTACTCCTTTCAATAATATTTCTGGATTTGTAGCTTAGAAATGTACAATTAGGGCTTATTTTAAAGTGGACCTATCATGCTATATTTGAATAATATAGTGTAGGACCATACCTATATAAGGCATATTTATACTTTTTTCTTTTCAAAATACCAAACAGATCATGCATTTTAGCCATGCCTCATTTCGCTCAATTTGCACTTTTTTTTAGCTCTGCTCTGCAAGGGCAGATTCTGTGAGAACAGCACCATCTACAGGCCTGGCATATGTACTACAGCGTCTCCAGCGCTTTCGAACGGCAATGGCCGTGGCTGTCTCCTCCTGATTGGTGGAGTTGGCCCAATAGCCGTAGTGCCACCGTCCTGACGTCAGGACAGTGTTCAAATCTGGATCAGTTTTTATCAGATCCGTTGCAGCCCCTTTTTTAGAGATTTGGGTATGGAGGAAAATAGAGAGGGTTGTGTTTTCTGACACTTGGTGAGTTCCCTGGAACACCGGGGAAACATATTCATGTATAAAAGACGTACAAAAGTGCATTTTGCATGATAGGTCCCCTTTAAGTGACATATATGCTGCTCATCACTACTTGAATAGAGGAATTTTCTTCTTTAACTACAAAACTATCATTTTAATATCCATTGCTAACCCATTGTTGCCTTGAAGAGTATCGAAAAAAGACCCCTTAACTTGTGGGGAATAACCAACATCTCCTTTATCTAGTGGTATGCTCACGAGACTAACTCATGCACACTATAATGTTACTATATAATACACTTCAGCTTGCAAGGACAAGTAGTAGGCAGGCCCATTTATTTAATTGGATCTAGAATTTGCTGTTTTTTATTCTTCAATATGTAAATGACCAATTTGTGGGTGAAGTTTCCACTCATATAAAACTCTACTCTTAAAAACGACTTTAGTTGTCATGCTTTAATGTACTTTAATACAAGTTTATTTTCTACCAGCCTCTAAAAGTTATTCTCGGATGGAGTGTTTGTTTGACTGCCTGATTTCCCGGGGATTTGCTCCAGATTGAATGCCGCTCTATTTTACAGATCCCTCACCATCTGCCTCTCAGCCTATATTGAGTTCACTATAGCAACCGTGACCATTTCCAGCAGCACAAAGTCTGTGTTCAAATAGCTACAACACACATTACAGCGGGGTTTCCAAATAGTGACCCATGAATGAGTAAGGATCGCTGCAATGTAACGCAAGTGACTCCATCCACTGGTCTGTGGTCTAATAATGCAACATAACAAAGCTATGTTACTTCATAAGTAGATTTTTAACAGGTGAAGCTCATCCAAATGAAATCAACATCGACATTATATCACTAATTTTTAAGTGAATTGTTAAATCTGTCTGTATATTCTGTGAAATATACGGATTAAAAGCAAGATAAGATAAAGTATTCAACTGACACTGATCTTAAAGGTGGGGTAGGTAAGTTTGAGAAACCGGCTCGAGATACACTTTTTGTTATATTCCATGGAATGCTCTTAACATCCCGATAGCAATGAATATCTTAAGTGCTTTGACAAAAAATCCATAAAAAAATGTCATCTGTGGAAGCCGTAGTACTGTAAAAAGCACGACCAATCATTTTAGCCGGCCCGGCTAAAATAACTGGATGGCCTACCTGCCTGTCAGCCTTCCATCTGTGCACAAGCTTATCTCGTGCCCTCATTGGTCATGTGCGCGTTCGTGTGTGTTGGAGGAGGGGCTCTGTAAGGAAGTGGCAGATTTTCTCCGGTTGTGTATTTTCAAATTCTAGCAATCTCGAGCCGGTTTCTCAAACTTACCTACCCCACCTTTAAGTCCATGTTTCTGCATTTGCTCATCAATCACAATTTCAATCTCTCCTTCTTTGTCTCCTCTTTGGTTCCTCTTCCCCTCCTCTCGCCCCAGGCATCGTGGCAGAGCAGTTTCTGAGCAGCACAGCCACTCAGCTTACGTACCACGGCTTATGTGAGCTCACATCCACCGTACAGGAGGGAGAGCTCTGTGTCTTCTTCAGGAATAACCACTTCAGCACCATGATCAAATACAAGGTGAATACTGTAAATTATACCTTCACCTTAAGTGTAGGTATACTCAGATTGAGACTCCAGTTTGGAGCTTACTTTAGAAATTGCGGCAACTTAAAAGAGGTTGTGTTATTAACTGTCCCCCCCCCCCATTCAGTGACAAGCAGCTTGAGGTCCTTTACTTTAACCGCACATTTACTGTGTTTTCTGTATTACTCAAATGGGTATTCTGACAGAATCCTCTTAAAGGTAAAGATTTCTTTCTGATAACTGTTCATGTTCATATAGATATCAGCAAAACTACCTTTAACTCAGCATAATGAACTTGCTTTAATGAAATATTGTTCTGCAGGGTATTCAGTAAGAAATCATTCTGGTGCTTTCTTATATTATTTGATGAATGGTTGATTTTTATAGGGGAGCCTTTTGGTAATATTTAACTGAATTGTAATAAATGTAACTAGTAATTTGCAGTAGATTAAGATAAATAACTTGCTATCAAGTCTTGCCCTCTACCGTTGGAAGCACTCTTCTCTCTGTTTGTCTTTCCATTTGCCTAAAGCTCCTTGATATTTTGCTGTACTGTTAAATAATAAATAATAATAATACATTTAATTTATATAGCGCTTCTCATCTGCCAAGACAAATCTCGAAGCGCTTCACAGCAAAGGACACTGATACAATTTGAGAGATTAAACAAATAATAATAATAATAATAAAAAGTAAATAAATAAAATAATAATAAAAATAAATAAATAAAATAAAATAAAAGTCGGAGATAGCGATAAAAATGGCAATACTCCAGGTGTACCATGCTCAAAGTTTATTGGAAGGCCTGCCGAAAGAAGAGGGTCTTAAGGCCGGTTTTGAAGCCCTCGGTGGAAGGGGCAGATCTCAGCTGATCTGGGAGGGAGTTCCAGAGGCGCGGGGCGAATGAGCAGAAGGCTCGGTCTCCCATTGTTCGGAGACGTGTGCGGGGGATGTAAAGAAGAGGAGCGTGGCTGGAGCGTAGAGAGCGGGTAGATGTCTGGGTACGGATGAGGTCACAGAGGTATTTTGGGCTTTGTCCATTCAGGGCTTTGTAAGTGAGGAGCAGAACCTTAAACTGGATCCTGTAGTGGACTGGGAGCCAGTGTAGTTGTGCAAGTATGGGGGTTATGTGTGCGGACCTCTTTGTACCGGTGAGAACTCTGGCTGTACTGTTCTGGACAAGTTGCAGGCGGTTGATGGATTTGGCTGGGAGACCGGAGAGGAGTGCATTGCAATAATCTAGTCTTGAGAAGACGAGTGCATGAACCAGTTTTTTGGTGTCATCAGTTGAGAGTGAGGGCTTCAGTCGGGAAATGTTTTTCAAGTCCTGCTATAACATGTTCTAAAAACTGATGAAAGCTTGGTATTTATGTATACACGTGTACAATATTACACCAATCACTACGACCCTTTAGGCGCCTGCCCACTGCTGGATTACTATATCACTGCCGCTCGGACAGACCTTTCCTGTTGTCTGCAGGATGGGAAGGGGAGCCTGCTTACTTAATTTTGAATAGTACTCCATTGTAGCCAAAGTAAGCATAGCTGTGTGTATCACTCAGCAGCCTAAGTTATTTTGCAATCACTGAGCTGCACTTGTACATGTACACACAGTTACAATCATTTATGATAAACAACCACATAAAGATTGTTTGTGCTTACGCAGGGTTCCTATGCTTCTTTCAGTCGAAAACCTTTGGCCATATGTTTGTCATAGGACACAGATGGAAATGAGGGTTAAAAAAAATCTCCTTTTTTCTATAGGCAGTCTAATAGTGTTTAGTTTAGTCCTTTTTGTTAAGTTTATGTTCTTGCTAGCTGATTTTTCCTGCAAAGGGTTAAGGTATGCGCAATAGTTTCAAATGTGTGATGCAATGCTGCATTGTTATGTTTAAATTAACCTTTGGTGTAGCAGATTCACAATAAAGTAAAGTGCCGTTCATCTGCAGGTATGTTTGCAATATTCGATTACAAATTTCTCATAATCTATTGGCATGTTAGAGATGATTTCATTGATAATGTCCAGCCATAGTCTGCGCTGTCTTTTAAACAAGACTTCAATAGGGAGAAACATATTAGTGTATGGAGCGACCCTTGTGCATCATGCTAGCTAGATCATCTCTGAAAATGTCCTGTCAATGTCCCTGGAACAGGAGTAACCATGCAGTCTTGTATGTCTGCGTGTGCTGTGATACTGATTGGATATTTGTATGTAATGCACGCCTGCTTGTTTCCCAGGGCCAGCTGTACCTCCTAGTCACAGACCAAGGCTTCCTGACGGAGGAGAAGGTCGTCTGGGAGAGTCTGCACAACGTCGACGGAGACGGAAACTTCTGTGACTCTGAGTTCCGGTTGCGGCCTCCGTCGAACCCAGAGACTGTGTACCGAGGCCAGCAGGATCAGATAGACCAGGTCTGAGCACTGATGCAGGCAAGACTAGACAAACCAGAAATGATCCACTCCAAAACCAGGATTGATGTATAATCACAACATGGTTTTTTACACCATGAGACAGAATACAAGACCAGTAAGGTCACTGTACTGCTCTACAAACATTTATAAAAAACACTGGAGGAAAGGAGAGCCAAAAATAAAGAAACACATAACAAAGATTTTAGGAAGCCATGTGCAAAAAGATCTACTGTGCACCATCCCAGGCTGAAACTAAAACAGGGAGGTTCCTTAATAATAGATGTGTATGGCTCCCGCACGCGCCTACCTCTGTTCTCATCCATGATTTGCTGTAGCACATAGTCACCAAATCGGACCATAATGCATTGGGTTTATGTCTCCCGGCTGCTTTCATAGCTGTCTGCTCATTGGTCGGCCACAGCGCTCAAAACGCTGATAAATTGTCTGCCTTCGCTCCCACACACACAGACCTCCACGAGCATGGGGGCTATTACTTTTTATTTTCGTTGCTTACTCAGGCCCACTCCTTTTCTCCGAGATGGGGTTGGTGGAAAAAAATCCATGCAGGCAATGTTCTGCACTCATAATCAATTCCATTAGGTTGGAGAAAAGGTGTAATGATCTCAGGGGGGAAATTGGGTCTTTGTCAGGGACAGAGTACATGAAATAATATAAGATACTGAGTTTAATACCATGGATAGAAGCAGGATAAAGGACATTTTAAACCAATTAATACAAAGAGTAGAATAAAGATGGTACAGCAAATTAAAATTAATGGACTAACACTAATGACTCTATTATTAGGAAAGTAATAGTGTTGTGGATTGTTGGTATTATAGGCTGAGGAATTACAGCTGCTGCATAATCACACCACAGTTTAGGCATCACATTGACACTTTTGCTCATAAATTATCAAGTCTTACTCTGTGTGTGCTTGTGTGTGTGTGTGTGTCAGGACTATCTGATGGCGCTGTCGCTGCAGCAGGAGCAGCAGAGCCAGGATGTGCAGTGGGACCAGCTGCCCGAGGGCATCAGTGACCTCGAGCTGGCAAAAAAGCTCCAGGAAGAGGAGGACCGGCGCGCCTCCCAGTACTACCAGGAGCAGGAGCAGGAGCAGGCGGCGGCAGAGGCACAGGTGGGGGGAGGGGAGGAGGACTTTCTACAAATGTGGAGCATTTAATGTAGCTCAGAGGGCTTTTGGAAACAGATGGATGTCTAAATCAGAGAGTTTGAGCTATAAAAGAGGAATTCAATTTCAAAAGAGATAATGGTATTATTTTTTCTTGTAACGCAAGAACAGTGATATCCAGACACAGGCATCGTCCCTCAGACTGCCCTTATATCAGTTATTACACCTCCTTACAGATATGTAAGATATACCATAATGATTCAATTATTTCTTTAAACGACAATATTATAACCAATGTGGCACTCCTTTAAGTACCTCTTGATTTTTGGTAACAACAATAATAAATTATATAATATTAATTTTAGTAATTTTTTCTAACAAATATGCATATTTCTTACCTAAATATGAAACAACAAATAAACATCAGAATATAAAAAAAACTTAAAACTGAATTCCTTACTTCCCCTTTCCTTCACTTAATTCCTACTTTTCTTCGTACTTATTTTTCACATAAATGCATGTCATTGACATAAACCAAATCTAAAAAAAATATATATATATATTTTAACACCTTAAAAGGTAATATTATATCTTAAAATGTATGCTATGACAGGTTTATTTAAACACAAAGTTGGGAAGTGTTTCCCAACTTCACGTGAACTTAAAGAAAGATTGATTGTTTTTCTAGATTTCTGCATAAACATATCTCAAAGTATTCTTTTTTTTTCAAAGCCTGTACAATTCTTCATATTTTCTAACCAAGACCTTAATATTTGCCTTATCACTTCATTCCAGTTCAGAACACTATAAGTAGCTTTGCATGAAACATACTCATACCTATGAATTTATACCCTTCTGCCCTTCAATCCTGTTTTCGCAGCAGGGCCAGCCAGAGCCGGCCGAGGGAGAGGAGGTGGACAGAGGAGGAGCAGGAGGAGCAGGAGGAGGAGCAGGAGGAGCAGGAGGAGCAGGAGGTGGAGCAGGAGGAGGAGCAGCAGCCGGCACTGGGACGGCAGCTGCAGCAGGAGCCACACCCAGCCCGGGAAAACAGACCTCTAATGTGGAGCGCAAAGCCAAGAAAGAATCGAAGGATAAAGACAAATGTATGATTTTGTAACATACAGTGTGTCTGTATGAGTGTGAGTTTTAGGTGCATTTGCTTTTTATGTGAGAAAGGGGACTGCATTTGTCTCTCCATGTACTGGACACTTGGACAAACAAGGGAAGGAGACGTTATGAGGAGAGATGCGTAGAGACTAACAGAGGATTTGCTGTTCCCACACCACTGGTGCCTGCTATCCTCTATCCCAGAGGAAGGGACACTACAACGACAACTACCCCTTATCTTTCATACAGTCGGCCAAACTCTGTTACAAGTAGCACAGTGCACTATATTTGTGATGTGGGGTCAAGTTTATTCGGGGTGGTATATTTTATAGCAAAAGACATAATCTGAAGAGACAAAATGTCACCTTCTCTCCATTTTACTTTTCCCAAAAAGTTCAATCATTTCACTCATGTGTCATTGCTGCAGCTTATAAGCTTTTTTGTACGTTTCAATATTTACAAAATGCGTTTTTTAAGTTGATGCCAAGATTCACTTTTTATTTATGTATCTGTGTAAGATACTTTTTATTTTTCTGGAAGCTGAGAGGGATTTGCTCATAATATTGCCTGTATGAATTTGGTGTAACACTATTTGTGTCCCCTCCGTAACACTATGTACCGAAGGGTTCATTAATGCCAGATAGCTGCCAGACTCTGTAACTACGCAACAAAACTCATCACAGTTTGTTCAGATTTGCCTTACCAGAGTATGGCAGTGTTTTATTCTGCTCTGTCTGAATGTGAGTGTGTTTGTTTTGTGTGTATTGTATGTACAGTTGACTTGTGGTAAACACATTTACTGAACATCGCTGACGCTGAAGTTTAGGTTTGGAATTAGACAAATCTTTTTACGCCGTATAAGTTCAGAAAAGGATTTGTCTTTCCTTTTTATGTTGTGATTTTATTTTACCAAATGTATGTTGAGGCAGTCAAACTGAAAAGAACGTTTCTGGTTTAAGTTGTTTCTGTGAGAGACCCAACTTTCTTTTGGAAGATTAGATTTGTATTAGATTGCACCAAGTTTAGATTGTGTGGTAGTTCTCAAAGGCCCGTTTCTTTCCCACAGTCCCTTGCAGTTTCCTGAAGAGCTGAAGTGTGCGTATATGTGTGTGTATGTGTGTGTGTGATTGCAGGCACTATCATAATCCCCTGTGTTTAGAAGTTCCACTGCAGTCACGCTTAAAAAGAAATACTGCAAAACATAGTTATTTGCATGTAATCTTCTTGACAAGGGAAGTTCATTTAATATTTGTCAACAGGTTATTTTCCAGTAACCTGAATCCAAAATATGTGACACAGAGATTTACAACACAAGTTCAAACTCCAGTTACAAAGTAGGGAACCTGACTTGTGTCATGCTGCTGTTTTCTCAAATGGACGTTTCCTTTACCGTTCTCCACCAGTTCATTCAATGTATTTTTTAGCCCCATTCTGGGTAAAGATTCTCAAATGTCAAATTCATAGAGGGATACATTAATCAGTTAATTGTTGAACATTAGGTTTCTTTTACAAACTAAGTTTTCCTGGGGGCATACGATATATACTCTGAATTCTGTGGTATGGACTTTTTACTTGTGTGCATTTCACTGCAGCGCGCAAACACGTGATGTACATATTTACCTAATGCATTCTTATAATGGATCTAGCTGGTGGTTTGTGCCATTATTGTACCATGGGACTGCCTCCTGAGAGACTTTTCTATCTATACATTCCAAGTGGATGCCTTGACTCTAGCCTTCTGTTACAGACTGAGGGAGACAGTTTTTGCAGTGCTTGTAAAGCGGTCTCCATTGTTGTGTTCTGTGAGAACGAGTTCACGGCCAGGATAATTACATGGAGGCAGCAGGCTACCTACTGTGTGGGAAACCCTTTCTGGTGGGCTCCATGTGACGGCTGGAGATTGAGCTCCATGTTTGTTTGGCCCTAAGGCCGCATTTTGTAAATAATTAAACGCCTTACAACATTTCAACACATTTTATAGGACAAAAGGAAACGGGTGGATTTCCAGAACAAGACAATCCATGCATTTTTTCACATCAAAAATACTCTCAGGCCTTTTGTGTAGGGACATACCCTCCAGTGTCTTTTATGTATTGGCACAGTTCCTCGGCCTATAATCACTTCCTAAATCACAACTTAATTTCTGCGAATGTAAACGCACAACTATTTTAAATATGAAGGACACTATATTATTTAAGACCCTCGTTGACTTTTACACTAAAGAAATGAATAAAGCTGCTCCTCGTGTCATTTTTGACTACCTGAAAGAAATAAAAACCTTGGACAGGGTAAAGAAACATTGTTGATTATATATATTTGACATCGACTCCTTAGCTGTTTATTTTTTTCATTGAGCTTAAAATAATTACACATATAATAAGGTGAATGCAAGAAGGAAGTGTTTGGCAACATTGCTTCTTTTTTTGTCCGTCTTTTCTGAATTTCACCTCATTTATATCTCGGCACATCAAGTGAACATGCTGATTAAACATTCTTGGGTGAATATTTAATAACGTCACTTGGTGTCGTTTAAAATAATATGGGAAGTTTTATTTTGGCCTGTGTTTGTATGAGTGAAAAGAGTGCGAAATGACACATGCCACCCATTCTAATTATTTTAGATTTACTACTGTGCATTAGCTTGCTACCCCTCGTCATTACTATCCGAATTTGATATTTTGTTGTAATGTGTTTGTTTCACCCTAGTCCCTAAGACGATTTGATCAGAAGGATATTGTGTGTTCAATGTCTCAAAGTGGTTTTTATTGTATGCCTTGTAAAAGTGATGGTGGGGTAAATGCTGTAAAATTAGTGTTTTGACAAGGTGGTCGTTGAACAAATAGTCGTTGTAATTGGTTTTGCACTGTTACATTGATATTACTGTTGATATGCACTAACAAAAGAGAAACATACCTCATTTTATACAGAACATACATTGTGCAAGAGTGCTATTGTCCTTTGGGTACTTAAAAAAAACTGAATCATGGCCAAAGGATTATCTCAACATGGTAGCAGTTTCTTAAACCAGCTGAATAATATTAATTTGTAAAAATATGAAAGGGCTGTTACATTCTTTTGGCTTGAAATGAAAGTACATTGGTCAAAACAACTAGTACCACTTTAAAGGAACTTGCTGCAGTTTGATATATTCAGGTTAGAGGTACACCTATACCAGACAACAGGATACCAGTACAAGGCCTGAGTACCAGCACAGAGCTCAAAGACGACGAGGGACATGTGAATTACAACACAAGACCGATGGCTTTCATTTGAATGGTCCAACAGAGGCAGTTTTTCTACAAAATACAGAAGAAAATATGTAGACAACCCAGGTACTCGACTCAATCAGCAAAAAATGGTGTAGGTGCACCCCTAATTCAGGTAGTTATTTTTCCAGGCCAGAGTCCATCTTTTAACTACACAATTTACTCAAATATGCTCACACCTTGACAAACAAAAAAGGGGAAATGGCTGATTTCTAAAGCTTAAGTGTCATCTATGTAGCAAAAAGAGGGACATGCAGAGTGCTGAACAATCTAAAGGGAGCATTTCTTTAATGCAATATCAAACTCCCTGATTGTACTTTGTGGTGCATTTAGTGTGGACTTAAATACTAGAAAGAGTAACGTTTTATTAACTATCCCAAAAAATATAATTTCCACTGTATGGCCCACTGTTTATATTTCACATGAAACATACAAGCAGAAGGAAGGTGTTTGTTGGGAGGTTACTCATTTGTGTTGATTTCAATGTTCATCTATTTACATAAATGACCAAATAATGTATGTAGCTGTTCACATCACAGTCACATAATGTATATGGTGATATATATATAACAAAATGCCTTATAGACGAGGGACATTCAACCTGATTAGAAGTACCACCAGGATAATAAAAGACTAAGATCATAAGTTGTTGTGTTGTCATTTGTAATGATAATAACAATCACTTTAAATGACCCTATTGATGACAATTCAACCTAATCACTTTGAGGATCAGACGAACCTGATGACTTATGTATTTAAAAGGCAAGATGACTCCAAATCAAACAGAAAAGGCCTCTTGTACTGTTTTCTCAATCTAGATTGTTTTGGTGGGAGTTGAGTGTTGGCAATATTGGCTTTAAAGTGTCTGGCCAATTTAGAATTTAATGAAATCATGTGGCATTAGGCTTGTCGTTTTAAAAGTGCTAAATAAAAATCTGAAATCACGACCGGGCTACTCCAGATAATCCACAGGCCCTGTTGTGAGCACTTTCATGTAGGAACTATTTTCTTTCTACCAAACTACACCTTCATACTGTATCACTGCGCAGAAGGAAGCTGAAGCCGGTTTGTCTTTAAAACTGGAACATAACTTTGTGAAAGAGACAGTGATGTTGAGTTACTAAAAAAGAATGTTGACACTAACATTCAAGGAAATATCTAGTTCAATAATATTGAAGCAAAGACAGATATATCTCTACGGTCTATATCAGAAACACTTGTCTTACAACTAAAACATCTTAAATGATGAATAGCTAAAGGCAAGAGGAGAAATACTAACACTACATTGTCCCTGTGATTATGCACTTGATTGCCAACAAGTGTGTGTGTGTGTGGGGGGGGGGTCAATTCATCTGGTAATGGCTGAAGGGCACACAATGATACTACAATGACAATCAAGAAAGTCATTCTCTGTATCAGTTATGTGTTGGTTAATTAAGCTTCATCCATCACTTCTGACAGGTGTGTAGGTAAAGAGTGAGCGACAAACCAACTGCATGCTGTGCAGACCTGGAGGTGTTGATTCAATTATATGAATAAACAGTAGGACAAGCACTCTTAATAAAGTTCTAATTAAAATATATATCACCTTAAATGACTAAGTAACCAATTTGGAGGTTTATGCTCACTGACTAAAGTGTTATAATTGTTCTGGTTGCAGATTCATGCTCCGGAACTTTCTACAAGCTGTGAGCCAGTTTTCGGACTCCGACTTTCTGCAAGCTTCCATCAAAGTACTTCCTGCTTTTATCAGAGGGTTAGATCATGTACAAAGTCCAAAAATCCTATACAGGCTTGAGACATTTGACTGCGAGGTATAATCCAATGTGCTGAATTGTGAGAAAATATAAAGTCAGGTAGTTATAGTACTTTCAGGGAATCTGGCACACATTGAAAGCCCCGCAGTTTATTTGAGACACACATACGTTATATATGCATGTTATTCAACACATGACCTATGGGAGGTGTTTTGCTACAATGTAGGCCAGTGTACAGTTGACATTGTTTTGTTTAATCCAACTACTCTTTACAAAACGTCTTCACCAGGGATGACTTTTCAAAAAACTAAAAATAACTTTCCTCAGAGAGAAACATCCAAAGGAGTGCTCCCTGATACTTCATGAGCTCTATTTTACACTCACATATGAGGTATTACACAAGAGAACCGAGTGTAACACTAGGCAAATGAAAATATACATACAACACTCAGAGAAGTTGGTAACATCACGTGAAAACTTACAAAGACATAGGGCTGTACAATATCTTCCTAAATGTAAGTAAAGAGTAAAACATATGCACAGGGGTGTTAAACAGTAACTGCAGAACCTTTGACTGAGGTAAACACTTGTCTATACAAAATCAAATAGTGTTATCAACCTCGAGGCTATAAATGTGCCACCTAAATCAGTTGATATTCTAAAAAAAAAAAAAAAAAAAAGTTCAGAAAAGTCTTCAGATTTTCAGGTGCTTTAAAATGGTAGAATTTGGTTGCCGTTAGAACTGCCGCTGCGTTCCTTTGAAGGGTTTGAAGCCGCCCACGTTGCCACCACTGGGAATGGAGTTGTTCGTGATCTGTACAATCCGGTTCATTCCGGAAGAAGAGTGACTGCACAAAGAGAAACCAGAGTGAGAGGTAAGACGGCTGAGAGACGGGACCATAGTATTCAGTTTTATCATCACATGTTTGTGCGTTTGTTATACCTGGTAGGGGACATTAAGCTGCCACGGCTGTCTCCCATTCTGCGAGTATCAGCGTAGCCTCCGCCCTGTGAGCTGGAGCCGCCGTGCCACTCCTTTCTCAGCCCCTGATCCCTGCTGTGACGCTCCACCACGACCTGCCGCCCGGAGCTAAACGGCTACAGAGACAGGAAGTCAAGACACCAGAGTTCTATGAATTGTTAAATGTACTCAAGCTACAGATTCAAACTGGAAATGTCTTTGTGTACTCCAGGAATAGTAACACATGACTCAAAATAGCAGGGAAGAACTGCAAGACTGGACTAATGTTTCATTACTACATAATAGGCGCTTTCACACCAAGTACTTTTCCCAGGAATAGTTCCCGGAACTTAGTTCCCCGGAAATCTTTAGTTCCGGAACTATCTAGTACAGGGGTCGGCAACCCTAGGCACGCGTGCCACCATTGGCACGCGGTACCGTAACCAGTGGCACACTAGGAATAAGTGGAATAAGTGTGCAAAATATTTAAATTGTATTTTCGGATCCTGAACGAGACCGCCGCCAGAGCGCGTCTCCCCATTACCTGCAGAAGGAAGCCATGCACGCAACGCAGCGCAGAAGGAAACAAAGAATTCAAGAAATCTAGACCGCAACAGAATTAAACAAGCGACTGCATGCCCCCGGACCCCCTACATGATGTGAGGTCCACCCCCCACTTAAATCATGTTCACATGGATAGGATACTAAATACATTTGCACACATCTTGTGTCCATATCTTGTGTCCATATCTTTCTGTTTGGGTGGTCATGCCACAACCGTGCACGTGCATGCATGAGTCATAGTGATCTTAATGTGGATTTGGCACACTGATCAAATTATTATTATTTTTTTTTAAATGGCACTTCATATCAAAAAGGTTGCTGACCCCTGATCTAGTAGATCGCATTCACACCGGAATAAGTCCCTGAGGGAGGATTAGGCAAATGAAGCCGCTGACGTCACTTCTTCTGCTTTGGGTTTACTGGCAGGCCGCAAACCACTTCACGGTGTATACTGCCACCCGAAGTCCCCGGAGTTGGGGACTGGCTTCAGTAGAAGCTGCTGGGACTCCCAGCAGCTTCTACTGCAGCCTTCCGAGTAAATCGTCAGAATGCCGACACCTCCTCATCACTCCCATGTTTTATTTTGTGTTGCCATAAGTTAGTCTCTCTTCGTTGGTGCACTGGGCTAATGCTAATGCTAATGCCAGCAAATAAAATGGCGGCTTCACAAAGACTTTTCAGAGTTTTACGGGGCGTGGTTTGCAATTCGCCCAGCCAATCAGAAAAAGGTTCGGGAAAAAAAGTTCTAGTTCCAGATCTTTTTGGTGTGAACGCAAAATCCCAGGAACTATCGGAATTATTCCTGGGAATAAGTACTCCGGTGTGAAAGCGCCTATTGGTATACTTCTGTAGGTGGTTGAGGATTTTTAATTTAATTTCAGTCATTTAAATGTCAAAATGTGTCATGTGAATGTGAATGTGACTGGTATGTATTCAAACTGCTTTTACCCAAAAACACAAAACTCAGTCAGAATGTAAGCTGACCTGTTCGCTCATCCCCATTGGTCTGCCTCCATCCCGGTCACTGAAGCTGCTCCTCCCCCGGCTGGCTGTGGAGCCTCCTCTGAGGACGGGGCCTGGACCCTCTCTGCCTGGTCGCTCTGGGCGCATACGCATCGGTCCTCTGTTCAACCCAGCATTACTGCAAGAGAGACATTGACGAAAAAATAATTAGCTTTGACTGATCTGGTGTGTGGGAGGGTAAAAACAGACAACTAATGATCCTTCTTTTTCATAAAATCGCAAATATGTTTTACCGTATATCTCCCTTATTGGAGTTAATGCCACCATCACTCTTCCACCCATGCCCTCCATCCCGGGGTGATCGGTTGTGCGACATGCCAGGTATCGCAGCCCTGGCTCCCATCGGGCGGTCGTGCATGGGCACAGGTCTCCTCTCCTCCCGCATGGGAACAGGTCGCCTCTCTTCCCTCATGGGCACAGGTCTCCTCTCCTCCCGCATGGGAACAGGTCGCCTCTCTTCCCGCCGGTCGGTGTCACGGAGCTCATTGCGTGGAGGAGGAGGGGGCTCGGTTCTGCGGACTGTTTCAAAGCTCTTGGGGTAGCGCTCAAAGCCTGAGCTCTCTCTGTGGGGAGCAGGGCGACTCTTCTTTGGTTCTGGCTCCCCTTCAAACCGGTTACGTCTTGCAAACAAAAGATAAGAATGGGATTATTCAACAAAAACGTAATACTACAAAAAGGTCCAAACACACCACCAACATGCATATCAAGATTTAACATTTCAAAATGTATCACTTTCAATTCTTAGAGGAAACCTAACGTAAGTATTGTTTATGTAGTAGTGTTTTCAAGTTTCTACTTTGTATAAATCTAATGCTGCAACTTGACTCATTTCTCAAATCGTGTCTCCAACTAATTCCTCTGATCACCGCAGTCATTAACTCCTCTCTGTGCACTGGCCTCGTCCCCCCTGCTTTGAAACTCGCTGCTGTCACCCTTGTACTGAAAAAACCCGGACTAAACCTTGACACCTTCAATAACTACCAGCCCATCTCCAACCTCCCATTCCTGTCAAAAATGTTGGAGCGAACTGTAGCCTCCAAACTACAATCTCACCGGGACAGCCATAACCATCATGAACAATTTCAATCTGGTTTCCGCACTCGCCACAGTACTAAAACTGCTCTACTCAAGGTCACAAATGACATTCTCGTCTCTGCTGACTCTGGTTCCCTCTCCAGCCTCATCCTTCTTCGACACCATTAACCACTCCATCCTCATCACCCGCCTTCAGTCCTTAATTGGCATAACCAGCACTGCCCTCTCCTGGCTCAAATCATATCTATCTGGCAGAAGAAAATTAATTTCCATCAACAACTTCAAATCCATCAACAACTGCAAATCCCCCACCGCTTCAGTTACTCACGGCGTCCCCCAGGGCTCTCTACTTGGTCCCCTGCTTTTCATCATTTACATCCTCCCACTTGGACAGATCCTCCGTCAACACCAACTCCGGTTCCACTGTTACGCCGACGACACCCAACTCTACCTCGCTACAAAAACTATTTCTGCAACCACCCACTCCCAACTGACATCAAAACATGGATGCAAAACAACTTTCTGAAACTAAACTGTGACAAATCCGTAACCTTGGCATCATCCTCGACCCCGCTCTCACTTTCCTCCCTCACATCAACCAGATCACAAAAACCGCCTTCTTCCCCTAGAACATTGCCCGCATCAGACCTCCCTCCCCCACCGTTGTTGATACTCTGATCCATGCCTTCATTACATCCCGACTGGATTACTTTGGTTCACCTGCATACATCCTCAATAAACTGCAATATGTCCAAAACTCAGCTGCCCGTATGCTCACCTCGACCCGACCACATCACCCCCTATCGTCCACTGGCTCCCCATCAAACACCGGATTGACTTCAAAATATTACTTCTCACCTACAAAAATCATCAACAACCTTCTCCCCCCCCCCCTACCTCATCCAACCACACTCTCAAAAAAAAAATCTCTCAAAAGTCACTTATTCCCTCTAGCTTTCAAACTCTGTTCAAAACCACCCCCCACTTTACTCGCACTTGGATTAGGACTAATGTTTATGTTTTCTTTGTACTGTTTCTGTTCTGATTTATGTAGAGCGTCTTTGAGCATTAGGAAAAGCGCTATAAAAATCCAATGTATTATTATTAATTGAATACATTTGCACTGGAGTTTTACAGTTAACTACAATTCCAATACTTTTAACTCTTGTACCTGTCATAGGTGTTGGACGGCTCAGCAGCGGCCTCTGGAAAGCGCCCCCTCTCTCTCGGAGTGAAGTTGGAGAAGCGGTTCTGCTGCCGGTTGTAGTTTGAGCCCTGGTTTAAACGGACATCGGACTCGGACTGCATTTTCTTGTTGCCATTCCAATACGAATCGTCTCTCCGGCTGAAATATTAAACAAACATATTTCATTGTTTTGATGCTTTTGAAGATTGACACCTTGGACGAGCTTCAAATGTTTCATATTTGAAGAAATTAATGACTCATGTAACCAAACTCTGAAAATAATTGGTATTATTGAATGTGCAGGCTTAAAAATATATACTTTAATATTTACTTTGTTTATTTTGTTCAACAGTACATCAGTTTAACTATTGAGAGCTTTGACATAGCACATGCACCTAAGGGAAGCTGCAGGAATAGGAAGAACTACTATTTCTAAGCAACAAACAGGAGGCTAAAAAATCCAAGTTTTAAACCACTTCCTAACGAGTCTCCACTAAAGTCCAACAACTTTGGTCATAATCATAACTGCTGAGGTACAATATATAATTGTTATACCCGTGTTCCACCTCGCGGCCCCTCTTGAGGTTGTTCCTCTTTTCTTGCTCATAACGGAGATGCTCCTGCTGCCTCCTCAGCTCCTCACGTTCACGTGCCATGCGCTCTGCCTCTTTACGTCGTTCCTGAAATAGGTAATATTAAAAAGCACTTACTAAGGGAAGCAGAAATTATTGAACAATTACAAGCAGTATGTAAATCACTCTGGGGGCTTAAACAACATTCTAAAAATAGTTTGTCCCCTTTTCTACTGCTGCATTCTGTACTGAAATAGTTTTTAGTAAAATAATTTATTCCTGAGATATACAGTTGAGAGAAGACCCAAGATTCATCCGGGGAAAGAAGGTGAGTATGTCTATTCTCTCTCTACCTGCTCAATGCGGATTCTCTCTCTCTCCAGCCTCTCCCTCTCCAAGCGCTCCCTTTCCAGTTTTTGTCTCTCCAATTCTAGTCTCTGGCGCTCCCGGAGCAGGTTCTCTCGTTCTTCGCGCTCCCGCAACAGACGGACACGCTCACGCTCCCTGCGTTCTTGTTCAGCAATTTCCCGCCGCCTAAAACCCAAAAACATCCATCAACTTAGAACTTTAAAGACAATAAAAAAAAAAATCCATTGTAAACCTCCTAAACGTGTATGAATTATGCGCCATGGCAGCTACCTGCGCAACTCCACGGCTCTGCGGGCTCGCTCCACACGAACTCCCCGTTCACGCATCCTCTGCTCCTTCATCTTCTCAAAAGGCAGGATGTCTTTTTCTTCCCCCTTGTTAAAAAAGGGACGCGGTTTGTCTCTAATCATCTCCAGCTGGAAGGGGAGAAAATATATATGTTTTTTTAAAGAGCTCAAAAAGGTAAATCATGGTAAAAGTGAATACTAAGCTACATGTGGAGTTTTATACCTCTTCTGGAGGAATCAACCATTTTGGTCGCCTTTGAACATTCATATTGACAAAGGGCTGTAAAAACACACAAAAAAGAATCAAACGGAATATTATTTAACATCCTTTGATAGTAAATTTAAAATATGCTTTGCAAATTGGATGAAGCAACTAAAAGTCTTACCCTTTCAAAATACCTTCCCCTTCTGAAAGGTCTCATTCTGCCAAAGTTAGAATCTCTATTGGGATGATGTACGAATGGCATCTTGCCTGGGCTTTTTGCCCCTGGAAAAACAATCAATCAGAAAGGACAGAATTATATTTATTGAATGACTCCAATCATAATCTTTAAATGAGAGAGAAAGGGGAATAAAACCTACGCCCATGCTTTCGGTCATCTTTCTTGAAAGAATCTTGCCCCGAGTTGGATGAAACGGAGTCAGATTTTCCACTTCTGGCATCCATTTTCTTTGATAAATCTTTGTCCTTTTCAGGTTGTTTATCCAATTTCTTGTCTTCTTTTTTGTAAGGAGGCTGTACTCTGCACGTAAGGAGAACAAATGGTTAAATGTGATTTCAATCAACAAAGGATTCACTTTTACTTTTTCTGTCACCTACTTGTTCGTCAGTTTGGTGCCTGTGGAACTGCGCTTCTCACTGGACTTGCTGGAACATGCTTTGTCCTCTGCTTCCTTCTTTGAGCCTTCTTTTTTGAATGGATCATTTTTGGACTGTAAAAACAGCAGTGAAATATAAATGGAACAAGTCCACGGGTTCTCAATGAGAGAAAAGTATTGCATTAGATCAATCACGGTTGAACAATGTTGACTCCTTGTGCTAACTAACGTACCCTTTCAACATATATCTGCTGTCCATGGAGCTCTGTGGAGTCGAGGTGGGAGACGCACCGGGTCACCTCTGTGCTGGAGGACATTGTCACCAAGCCATAACACTTTGAACCGGGACTGCGAGCGTTTGTCACCACCTTAGCACTTAAAACCTGTTGGTAACACATTTCATTAAACATTTTTCTCCAACTTTGAACATAACGTTCTAAGAGAATTCCAAGAAAAGCGTGCACACGTCATTTACCTTCCCATATTTGCCAAACAGGTTCTTAAGATCAGCTGCTTTGGTGTTTGACGACAGGCCGCTCACCCATAGGTTGCGAGAAGAGCTGCTGTCGACTCCTGGATACAGATGATTGTCAAATCACATACAGGAGGCATAGGGTATGAAAAATATTGTTTTAAGTTGGATAAAATTAAAAAAGTGTTCCTGGGATTTAACATTTGAACACAATGCTTACCCTTTTCATCTTTTCCATCTCTGTCTCTTGAAGAGCTATAAAGCAAAGGTTGCAACAACAAGCAGATAAAATGAGTAAAGGTAAAGAAAAGGTGTTAGGTGATAAGCATACATCTAGTGGAATAAAACACCACATGTTGTGCTTCTCGTGAAAAAAAAAAATCCTGTGTGCAAGGCGTGGATCTGAACGAATGTTTCAAAGGCTTCATTGCTTTTCCAGTGGTGAGAGGGGTCAGGTTGACAGCCAATTTATTCCCTGGACCAATGAAATCTTCGGAGTTTGTTCAACTTCACAGCGAATCATTTGACCAAAAAGGAGAAAAAAAAACACTGCCATCACGGGGACTAATGCTCTTTTACAATGCCTGGTGTAGAAACTGGAAATGGCTTTAAACCAGCGGGAAAAGGTCAAAGTAACAAAATAAGAGGTGTTTTCTCAGCTCCTGGTTAATGTAAAACATGTAACCAACTTCAGAAAAACAAATCAAAGTAGTAAAGGGCAGGATTAGGTACATCTGTGAACATTTCCCTTATGGCAAAAGAAATCTTGAGGCTACCCACAATGTTGCGTTCTTAGTGAGCTGGACTTGGTAGTAGTATCAAAGAACTGACATAGAAAGACAAACCTCTTTGCTTGACCTGATGCCCCAGTAGTGGAGGGGCCTTTCTTCCCAGAATCCTTTTCTTTGTCTCCCGTCTCGGCTTTCTTCTGGGCCTCTCTGCTGTCTTTCTTCGTGGGCTCACCCCTGGATCCATCATCTTTCTTACCATCTTTGTGGTCATCGCTCTCTTCCGCCTTCATGTCATCGTCTGGGCCCGTCTCAGCAGAGGCCTCTGGCTCATCATTGCCCGTCTCGGCCTCTGGATCTGGAAGTTTCATAGGTTTACCTGTTTCCAGGAGATCATCACCATCGACATCTAGGGTGATGGCATCATCATTTGGGTTTGGGACGGACATGTGATCGTCCTCAGCTTCTTTAGAGGAATTCTTGGCTACAGCATTCATCTGAGCCGGCTCGGGCTCTACCTCTGGTTCCGTCTCCACCTCTGGCTCGGTGTCCAACTCTGGCTCAGCCTCCTCATCCATGTCTGGGTCGGCGTCCTCATCATCTGCATCCACCTCTGGCTCATCATCTGCATCCACCTCTGGCTCATCATCTGCATCTACCTCTGGCTCGGCATCTGCGTCCACCTCTGGCTCAGCATCTGCGTCCACCTCTGGCTCAGCATCTGCGTCCACCTCTGGCTCAGGCTCTGAATCAGCCGCCACCGCCTCCTCTGACTCGGGATCAGCCTCTGGCGGAGCGAGGCTGTCCTCACGGGGTTCAGGCTTAGAATTTTCACGAGTACCATCATCTGTATCAGTTACATCTGAGGGATTTAACAAGGATAAACATGGCAAAACACAACTTTAACATTGACATGTTGCATGTAGCTTGACCTAAAAAGTAGAATAGAAAGCACATTTAGTGTTAATGGTCATCAAGGGCGTAGACACCACAGGAAGACACACAACACACACTCTTCACTGATCCAGGAGCTGATGCGGTGATCTTCATTTCTTGACACATGTTAAGTACTCGAGTCATTATTCATCCTGTAGCAATTCCAGATGATTCCTATGATGCGTGGCAATTCTCCAAGTTCAAATGAAGAGGAACATCTCTTCAGTTCAACCTCCATTTTTTTTCATTATGAAGAAATCATCCCCAGCTTATCAGTCCGTTGACAGTTTTAGGAAACTTAAATATCTTCCAATATGTCTTCAATAATCATGTCATCAAGGCCTTATCAGTCGGTTTAAGAACACTGATAAAGAATAATTTGTCATCAAATCCAACCGTCTGTCATGTGTCCATTACAGTACAGTAAAGTCTGTCCTTTCAGTCCACGCTGTGCGTCACATCTCTTCACTGCACACCAAATGTCCGGGCTGCAGACAGCTTGTATGAATATGTGCAATTTTGATGGATGACGTCTCATGATCTTTCAGCTGCTTCCTGTCTCGGGGTGTCCGCATGTTTTACAAAGTCTTGCGGTCCTTGAACTACACAAATCCCAGCCCTTTTCACAGGCTGCATCACCTCACAAAACCTGCATCAAGGTGTTTGAATCCTGTGGCGGAGGTATTCGGACCTGCCGAGTGCATTTGTCCACAAATGTCGATCAAAGTAATCTGGAAAGTGCAACCATCCGCCAGTTCTTTTCATCTTCCAATTCATTAGACATAATAAAATGTGAGCTTGTTTGTAATCATTCACTCTTTGTTGTGGAAAGTTTAACACCAGAGGCAATGAAAATCCATGGAAGGACCCAGAAGTTGTGTTTAATAAAGTTTAAGTAGTCCAATGAAATTGCCTAACTGACTTAAGGCTACTCACATCTAATGATTCATGTGGGTACCAAGAGTTGGTCTTCATTAAGCATATCCTTGACATATCCTGAGACGTAGATAGTGCAGTAGCTAGTAGGTTATGCATTCTAACAGGAGTCTTGTGTCATCATACTTAGCTGTGAATAAGAAACATCCTAATGTTAGCATTGGACACCAGTGTGCCAGTTTGCTTACCTTTTTCTGATGATTCGTACTCTTCAGTTTCCTAGAAAGAAAAAAAAGCAGAGTTGAGCTGACAAATATTTTATGGTAATTTGCAGAGCAAACCAAGTGTACAGAAATAAATAATTGCAATATTTCAGTGTTGTTTTTAACAGAAAAGTACATGCTACTGTTTTATGAATCCTTAAAGCATCATTCCTCACAAACTAGAACACTTTCAGCTAAGAAACAAAGTGATGATGAGTATTACACACTGCCTATGTTTTTCCCTACAACTTTACAGAATAATATGGCAGAGGATTCAGCCAGTATGAATTAATAAAAAATGTCTGAATTGCCAGGAACCTAGTTAACCATTTCAGAGCACAATTAAATCGTACACTGCCAAACTAGCTCCTAATAAGGTAATCAGACAAGGTATCATACGATACAATTGAAATGATCGTCACTTTGAGAGTTTCTTTTTTAAGTATCTTTTTTAGCATCAGTTTTAGTATAGGGGAAGAGAGAGCAAACACACAGGGGTTGGTTAACATTTATGCAGCAGAATTGTATGCAAAAGTCACCTTTGATAACACATCTTCCTCCCCTGCGGTGTCTGCATCAGAATCCACCCTTTTCCCTGAATGGTGAAAAAAACAAAAACATTACAAATCTACATTTAAAAAAAAGTATTGACTCTTTAGCCACCCTGTCTCAACTATTAGAGTCAAAATAAAATTACCTTTAACTTTCCCATCTTTACGAGTTGATGTGTCAGCTGTAAGCGGGATCTCAATATTCTCGGTGTCACAATCTTCATCTTCAAGAGCCTTAAAAAAAAGATTGATAAAAAACAGTTAGTAGTCTGAAACCTCATGTTTGCCTCGTTTCTTCATTCATCACATCAGTCTTACGACCAAGAGAGTAGTGTTATACTGTGTAAGACAATGTTGAAGCCCAGCCTGTCAGTAATCACACCAAATTGTGCTGTCTTATAGAAACTACTAGTAGTATGCAAATTGTGCTCAAGACTGTAGATGATAGCACTTATGGGCTTCTTTTCTCTTTTTTAAAAGAAAACCATCCCAGGGTCAATAGGCAGATGTAAAAACAATGTTATGGCTTCTAACTCTCAACATTGTATTCTTGGTTTCTCTTTTGCTGGGAAACTACTTTGAGGTAAAAATGTGTTTTTTAGACACTGAATATGATATATTTGCATAATTGTGAAATTAAAGCTATTTTTAAAGTCTGACATGTCTGACTGAACTAAAAACGGTTTTAATCGAATCCAGAAAGATTTACAATCAATCGAGCGCTTACCTTTTACCACAGATTATTTTGTATTTCTTCTCACTTTGACCATCGTAAAAATGTATTGTGTTTTATCTGTTTGATCCTGTAAAGCACTTTGAATTGCATCACTGTATGAATTGTGCTATACAAATAAATTGCCTTGCCTTAAAAACTATTGCATAACCACATTACCATTTCTAAATCTTAAACTATAATCTTATCAAAACACTTTGAGCAACATGCTGTCCATAACATCTGCTCAACTGAATCTACGTATTGTTAATCTATGATATTAGAAAGGCAAGTCTAGAGTTTATGTCAGACTTGGAATTCGTTTTAACATCAACACCAAAATGTAATAACTCTGAATCCCTAACGCAGTGAGTTTAGAGATCACTTCTTCTCACCTAACCATGAAAAAAAAAGGGAAGATGTGTGCATTAATACCCTCGAGGTTACAAAATGCTAGTCCAACGTGATCAAATTCAGAACCGAAGACACTTCTGCTGAACCTCTTTTAAAAACGCATTTAACGAGTATGTGCGTGGTCCTCCCTAGGGCTTGTCAACAATCAAGTTACATCTGATTTAAAAAGCTGTGCAATATGTTAATGTGCCAAAAAAAGAGGATTAGTTATAAACTCATTTGGACGTCTTTCACACGTCGTAAGAAGAACAGACGGGCCATTCATGTCTGTTGTGCACCCTTAGATGTTTCTGTATTTAACCATTCACTCGAGAACATAATTTCACCTTTTTTTCAGAGAGGTGTTGATGTATTTTGTTTACCCAGGGTGTAGTTAAAAACACATCAACAAACGATCGTTAGAATGATATCGGTCATAGTTGCTAACGTTAGCCTTAGCAACCATGCATCGCATTCCCTAGCTCGGTCAACCCTTCGAAGCATAAATCAGCTTTTTTTTCATTACCTGTCTCAGTCTTGCAAGAAGAACACTCTTTATACCAGTAGTGTCCAAATTCCTTCTTTTCAGCTCGGATTTAAGATCAACAACTCTTAATTCTGATATTTTCTTGGACTCGGTGGAAATGGCACCCGTCGCCATTTTACCTCAAGATTACTGAATCGTACCGTGCGCCTGCGCAGTAGGTTTGTTTCCTCGCAGCTTCTTCTTGGTTGTATTTATTTGGAGGTTTGGACGCGATAAAAAGCTGCTACGCCACCTACTGTGGTGGGGGAACCAGTGAATTCATAAACTAAAACACATCCATAACATGTTTAACAAAACAGATAAAAGGTAATTAATTATAGGCTACACATTTTTTTTTTACTTGTGTCGAATTGTTTCGCTGTGTTGCTTGATACATAGCACTACCCAACACCTGTATATAATACTAGTTAATCAATATACACATGTTCTTGTAAACTAGTAATCATAGTATTTACTATCGTCATCCTGCAGCTAATTCATAACGTTCTACAATTTTTTTAAATAAATACCTACCTTTTTATCCTTGAAATTATTTTGATTTTAAATGTTTAATAGGCTATGTCTGCATGTCACTTTACTAACTGTTTTCATTGTGTCTCTTTGCTGTATCGATGTACATTTGTTCTAATAAAGGAATTCTGATTCTGATTCTGAAATGGGCATAAAGAGTTTAGCAAGAACATTTCCGACACTGTTAAAAAATGTAATGTTACATGGCATGGTTTCCTGGGAGATAATTGTCAACAGAAAATGTGCCATGCAAAAAATCAAAACATTAGTCCTTGAAATGTACGATGTAGGCCTATAATCTTTACTGAAAACCCAGTTCAAAGTGACATGCAGATTTGTACCTATCTTCAGGCCACAATTCATAGTGCACACATGTACTCAGTCGTTGAATCACAGAATATATTCATGTAATTTTATTGTTTCAAAATATAAATCTAGGCTGTCTTCTGTTATCTAAACTTGCCACACCAGGCAGGCTCAGATGGTTAATTCCATAACTAAAAGTCAGCACACACTGATTTACTGAGACATTTGTAGAAAATATCAAATATCAAATATCAAATCATGTTTTTTCTTTAGACATGTTTCTAATATTTAAAAAAAAGAACAGCACAATGAACCTCTTCAGGTGAAATATTCAAATTAAATTATCTTATTGAACTGCTCACAGCTTCATATTATTCACTGATGTATATTACTACTTAGGGCTATGATATAGGAGTACACTGAACAAAAACGGTTATTTATTTACGAGGGTGTAAATTAGAATATATTCTCCTGTACTTTTCGTATTTTACAGTAAGTACAATTTGTAAGGTAGGCCTATTTGTCCATTATACTTATTTATACTTATTTCCATCTACATTTTGTAAGCCTTTATTCTACTTTTTTACTCCACTGCATCTGGGACCATTAGTTAGGCTACTACTTTCCATATTCAGATGAATCATATTATTTAACCATTAATCTACCCGGCAGAATATGGGGAAATAAAGAATTAGCTTCAGTTTTTACCAGTTTTAACATTGAAGTGATGAATAATCCTAATTTGATGATATGATAGACATATGAAATGAGCCCTTCTGCACACGTCCAACCTTTATCCGCTAGTGGGCGCTCGAGTATTTGGAATCGAGGATTTAGGGAGAGTAATGCATGCAAAAACAATTATGCTTACATTTAGGATATAGTATCATCTGTAGCCTTCAATGAAGTCGTAAACAAAGCAAATATGTCTATAATTATACAGCGCTTTTGAGGCACTTTTTCGAATTGAAACGGGGCGCGTGAATTGTTATTTACACATTCTGCGTTGAAAAGTGAAAAGGATTTAGTGGAGCTGTTGCAAAGTGTCGTAAAGTCGCTGACGGCTGGCCGCGATCTGGCGCTCCCTTTCGGCAGAGAGGGGAACAGCTGTGTTGTATGTATCAGGCGAACAGACGACCTGCTGGGTAAACAAGAGTGGATGCATCGAAAGGCAGGAATGGCAACTTCGTCGAGGGCTTATAGTGCGACATTTCTACTCTGTCAAATAGAAACACAATAGACAGGTTGGTCTACCTTTTTGAATTCGATATGATTGTTTTGTGAGGCTAAATGGCTTAGTATGATCGGGTATTTGCTGAGTGAAGTGGAACTAGCCTTTACGTTAGCTTAGCTTGTAGCCATCCAGGGCCCATTGCCTTCGATGTTGCTTCTCGGCTCAGCTCGGGACTGTGTTGTCAGTTTCACAATCCCAGCCACTCTCCTCCTCGGATCGCGATTTCTATGCAGGCCTGTCTAGTTGCATTTAGGGTTAACATTTGGATAAATGCTCGTGTACAACTCTTGTCATTATTCCCCACAGGATATCACCTCTCATGTTACAAAAAGGACGGTGACATATTTTGAGAAAAGGACTTAGACCCAGGTACGTGCTGTCTTTGTTGTCTTCTGTCTGGAGTAACTAATATGTGTCAGGCTAGGTGGCTAGCTATCTTTTTTCATTTCTCTCGAGTCTTTATCTTAATTATCTCAATATAAGTTGATAACTATAGATATGCATCTTTAAATGGTTCTCCATTAACTCGAGTTTATCTGGCCCTAGTGACTTCAGCAGCGTTTGTGGGATACACACAGACAGCAGCCGAGCTTATTGTAATTGTTTAGCGTTGTAGAAACTATGCTTAGCCTCAGTTTCAGGCTGCATACTGTCAAGCTAAATACATCTATGATGCTCTTTTTATTTGTGCTTGCCTAGCCAGAATGGTTGCTAGTCGTTTAGGAGACAGAAAGCACAGAGAGAATTGTTAGCAGCAGCTCAGCAGTCCTGTCTCAGTCGTACATCTTGAATTGGTTTGCTGTTGCCATTTCTGTTACACCATATATTTTATGATAAAAGTAGCTGCGAATGCTATAATTGATAGTATCTGCAGTATCTCTTACTTATAGTTTTGAGTACCATTTATTTTTTACTAAAAATGTGCATTATTCAGCCTTGGTGCATGGGTTTTTTTTCCCTTCAGGGCTGTCCTCTGAGGCCCCTGAATTCATGCATGTCATTGCGCAGCTTCCTCTGTGGCATCTGAAGGACTCTCACTTATTAACTGAGTTGTATATAAAAGCAGAAATCACTGTGGCCTATGTCAGGCATCATAAACCTCACTAGCTATTTTTCACAAAGGTTGCAGCTTCAGGTCAAGTGACAACTAACATGTTACTATGAAATCAGTTGTGAATGATTAATGCAATTACATTACTTAGTATATGTTCAGCCAAATCACATACTAGTTAATGCAGTGCAACCACAGGAATACCAATAACACCTTTACCATCTAATCCAGTCCTATACAAAAACCCTGCAGCAACACAACCAGGAATGTTGTTGTGTTACATATTTACTGTGCCAGAGGGATGGATAGGGAATTGTGAACAACTGCTCCACTATGGAATACAATGACTTAAATGCAGTAGTTGAATGTTTAGGCTATGTTTTACCATGTTTGTCAGGCTTTGTTTATTAGAAGCTTGATTTCAATGAAGGTAACATTAAATAGGAATCTTGATAGATGCAAGACATCCAAACATCTTAATATTGGTAATAGTGTAGTCTCAGGAAACAATGTTGATGGGACTAGCGCAGCATTGGTTTTGCTAGATCAGTTGTTCTTCCAGATAGACACATAGACAGGGTCAGTACAATATGTTCCTAGATACCTTTGTGAAAGTAAAAGTAGCTTCATGAATTTGTTTTCTGATTACATCATATCAAGAAGTGTGGTTGGCTTGTCACTGTGGGTGATATCCCTACATGCGTATAGTGCATATTAATCATGTCATTTTCTTCACACTGTTCTTAAATGATTAAAACGCAGTGTGTTTTTGCTAAAAAATACAAAATTAGGATGTCCAAACTGATTCTTTTGATCTGTAAAAGTAAATAAGCCTCTTCATTTCACTTGATTTAATATACTTGAATTGTTTTTCCAACATGCTGCAATATCACAATATCCTGCTTGTGATCTAACCATTTAGGGGGATATTAGAATACATATCTATGGGCATATCATTAAATTGTATCCATTGCATTCAAATTAGCCTTCAGGTGTATTGACAGCTGAGGGCGTGGGGACTTTTGATCTTGAGTCAATTTGTAAACCTTGTTTCTCAGAATCATGTTCCTTGTCAATGCCAACATCGCCGTTGACTGGCAGAGGGTGTAGTAGGTCATGACATGAGCCATCGGAAAATCGAAGAGTCTTAACAGAGACACGTACGCTTTGTTGTATTTTGAAGAAGCCTACATTTCAGCAATGCTGGAATTTGCCGTTGCTCCGGGAGACCTTACACTGCTGTGAAAATTCTGCCACTGTAACATGCCTCAAGAGTCTCTTTCTTCGGGAGTTACTTTTTAGTGATCAACATTTTTAACGAACTGTCCCAAAGTCAAGACGTAAACATGAGATCAGATTCATGTTGGATATCCCCCCTTGGGATCATATTTGTATTAAGTCTGTTTGAACTGTTCCGTTGAATCAAGAATAAAGCAAACACATCAGTATTGACTCAGCCATTACGTTTGACTCAGCCTGAGGGTATTTATTTTCTATCTTTAATCAGCAACCTTGGGTCCTGCGGTCTTAATTTGTACTAACAAACATAATGACTGTGAGTGAATGAACATGTTTCCTACATGGAACACTGAAGTATTGTAGTAGGCATATTAATGTTTTTTGGACTGTGTGCTGTGGACCGATGAGTAAAATGCCAGAAAATAACCTGGAGTAATATTTAGTTTGAAGATATTCTAATGTGCTTTGATGCAAGTACGTTGTTAATAAAAGACTGATGTTAAACAACTAACCAAGGACAGCATACTGAGAATAACAATTATCATATGATCTGTATTATGAATATATTAAGTGATCTGGACAACAATGTAAATGCGACATTTCTTTTCATCTAATAGTGTTACTGAAATGTGCCTCTCTTTTACTACCTAACTTTTGCTGTTTATTTTGCAACCTTTTAAGATTTCCGTGGTAAACGTAGGTATTATAATTTGTCCAACAAGCTGTGTCGTCAATCCTGCAGAGACTAACGTTGTTACATTTAATAAAGGTTCC